TGGCGAGGAAGTATTGTGATCGCATAAAATTTCGAAAATGAAATATTATTCATTTAGTTTTTTGATAGACCATTCCATATTGTTGGCTTTCGGTTTTTGTGTCAAGTAACTAGACCTACACCGTACTGATGATTGCTAATACGCAAAAAATGAACAAAGAAATCGTTTCAATTTTCTCTTCGTTGAATTTGTAGTGCGATTTCAAAATAAATTGCACTTTAACATTGTCATTTTTTCTCCTCTACAAGAAGGCATAATTAGAATTTCAATATGATGTTTCATCTCTTGTCCTTTAGCTGTCTCATTCTGGAGGACGCCACTTTAGTTGTTCTTTTGTCTTTACAACTCAAATTTATAGGGAAATAATCTCAATACACGCGACTCTCCATAAACCTGCGACGCAGTTTGATCAGCGGGTTAATATGATTTGTCCTACTAAATGAAAAAGGAACCTTGTTGATCCTACTTTATTCAACCGTATCATCATGCGAATGCATCTGTGTCCCAATTCACATATTCCTTTGATTTATTACGGACTGTGTAGAGAGCGGAGAGAATAATATGGGATCGGTCGTAGTAGGTTATGACTGCCACTGCTACGTCACTATGGAGAAGGACGGATTGCATACGTCACAGCGTTGAAAAGAGATGGTGGGGGCAAAAGCGAGAGTTTTAAATCGATCAGCGGTGACGTAGTGGCTGTCGCCGGCAGCACGAGGCTTCGCCTGCTGTGGTGTCTGTCTGTGTTTTGCGGTTAACGTGCCCGGCGCTCTGGAACTCTGCCAACAACTTTTCTGCGTCACTAATGACTTTTGGTCTAGTTACATTTTTTGCGCGTCATCAAAAATATTGTATAGGGAATGTTCGCTGTCGTGCGTTTTATCACATGTTATCTTAAACCTATCATTAAAGACAGCTAGACTAGGCGAAAGAGGTTTTGAAAAAGTAACTGTTTGTTACTTGAATAGTCGTTACTCATAGATACCTGAAGTAAGGAGGATGGTTTCTGTCATCTTAAGCATCACTTAGGGCCGTATCGTCAGTCGTTCCTACAATTGTAGGATGCCTTTATGACCCCCTTGACTTTCAAAGTCTTTTCTCTCTTTCAGAAAGGTTGTGTATTTCCAGATTTCTATTGTTCGGTGTCAGTGTCTCCCAGTTATATTTTCTTTTTGAATTGTCTGAAATTTCATGCTAATAATGTAATGGATAAACATAATAGTTATTTGTAGCATAACCTCAAAATAGAGCGCCTTTCTGGAGGGCAGGAAACACTATGAAAATCAAGTAGGCTATAAAGGCGTCCTGCAATTGCAGAAACGACTGCCGATACGGCACTTAGTAGTGTCGCTCATGCATCAGGGTTGCCAGACGTCCCACATTTGGGTGTTGGGTATGAGTAGACGAAGCTCCACATAGAATTTTTTATACTGGTACATGCTTAATTGAAATGCCCATATCTTCGAAAGGTTACTTATTGCTATTCCGAATTTCATTAAGCCCATGTACAGATCAACTTTCTAACTTAAAGATGTGCTTTTGAGGCATTTTTTGTTAATATAAAGTATGTTCAGTTGTTAGGCACATACATGTATGAGTCATTTGTCACCCTATTATCCCTCTCGTTTTGCATAAAATTTGAAGATACGATGTTTGCATTAAGCGCAGCAGATTTAAACAAATTGTGATGTTGCGTATTTAGGTAACTAACAGAATGCCGCTTAGAAAGTTTTGAAAGACGGAAAAAACGAAACGTTTTAATTTTTTCCTGACTTTATTTGTAGAGGAATGTTAAAATAAGTTGCACATTAACATTGCCACTTTTTCTCCTCTAAAAGATGGCATAGTTGTAATTTCAGTCTCTTGTCCTCCAGCGTCAACTTCATTTTTTCGCGATATTGTATTTTTACGCAGATAAATTGAATTTTTAATTCCGCAAATGTATAATATGTCATACATTGACATTGCCTAAACGTAGTAAGCTAGAAAAAAAAACAGGATCTCCGAGGTAGGCCTTGAAACCATCATAGACATTTGTTTCGTATACGAGACCAGACCTGACATTGATCATAGTAACAGAGGTTGGAAGACTGAGAAGAAGAGAAGTAATTCGAACAGTGAACAATGTACAGAGAAGAGTCAGGTTTTGCGTACAAAATAACGGACATTTTTAACACCCGGTGTGATTTACCTCTGCTTATTTATAATTACTATTGTTATTACAATCAATAAAAATTTCATTTTGCGTAACATTTCACCATACCTTATAATTTTCGTTCCGACATTAAATCATCACTGAATTTAGGACTGAAAAATCCATTCAAATGTACAAAATTCAAATATAGCGTCCACATGAAAGAACAAATTTGATGATGGAAGTCGAAAGAAGAAACCTCGTATTGAAAATTTGACCTCGCCATTAGGAGGAGAAGAATAAGTGGCAATGACAATATGCAAATTATTTTGAAATCCCGTTTCAAATAGAGTCAGAAAAAAATAAAAATAATTTTGGGATAAATCTGGCATGATGGATTGTTTCAATCCCTACCTGGAAAATTCTGTTTTTTGACTTAACTAAGGTTTGACATTGTCAATGTATGAAAGCTCTATTCACCTGTGCACAAATCTAATATAACGTCCTAAAGAAAAAATGCAGTGGATGCTGGAGGAAAAGAGACGAAACGTCGTATTGAAGAAATTGAAAAAGTGACAATATCAGTGTGCAATTTATTTTAAAATCCCATTACAAATAAAGTCCAGAAACAATTAAAACAATTGTGGGAAAATTAGTTTTTTTTCCGCCTTTCATCGAAAGTACTTTGTTGTACAAAACTTGTTAAGCGGCAATTTGTTAGTTACCTAAGTACGCAACTCTGTCCCCACTCAAGCGTATTACCATTTTCGAGATCCTAATGGTGACGGTGGAATTTGAAACACCCAGCATGCCGTACTTGTATGCTTATCAAGTTTCAATCGGCGCTAACCTTCCCTCCCCCCCCCCCCCCCCGTCGATCTTATATCTTCCATCGCCGATACCCCCTCCCCTGAACATGATGTCAAACTGACAGATACATATCTACAAATTGAATGCATCCCTTAAAGCCATGATCGTAAGCATTGATGGAGGTAGTTATACTAGTGAGTGTCTAGATTATCTGTAAGGGTAACTACTATAACAAGAACGAAAAAGTTTGAAAGTTCTTGATCTAGTAGCGGCGAAGCTAGGGACAAAAAGAATAAAAATCCAGACAACGCAGTTTTGATGCACTACCGACTGTATGCTGGAAGCATCACTATTCGCGGGGAGCGAAGTGCATAGTGGGGGAACTAAATCAGTCGCTGCGCACCAGTTGGACAAAAAGTGAAAGATCATCGGACATATAGTGGAATATAAGTGTCGTTTCTAGAGTGAAATCTGTGTCATGTGGAATCAAATGAGGCCCGGCAAAATATTTCGCTGTCATTTGTCAGATCAACAGAGAATTGTCAGTTTGAAGATATAAATTTTCTTTATTTGCTTAAATTGTCAGAATGATGGAACAATACAATATTCGAAATACATTCCTGATAAAACAAAGCAAATACAATAAGGTTGATTATCTAAAATTATATACCCATTTTTAGTTCATCACTCTTTCCCTACCCTTGTATACTTAGTGAACCAACACATGCAACTAGATGGTGCTAAGTAAGTATACATTTATATCGCAATTAAAGAATTCTTCAATAGTATATGGAAACAAAGACATTGAAACATTAGGTACCTTACGAATCTATGAAAAGCAAGCATTATCAGCCTTATTTCCCTAGTTATATGAATCCTATGAGTAAAGGTCAGTCTGTGTTGACGAGTAATTAATAAATCGCTGTTTCTGGTATTATGGGAGTAAGCATCTTGATTAGTTCTTAACTCGGAAAAGTGTGTTCTTACCCATAACAAGCAGCAGAATATATACGGTGAGGGAACATTGAAAATGTACAACCTCTTAAAAAATGATTTCTACAAGCATCACAACTCTGTATCTGAGAGATACATCTTATTTTCGCTTTTTGTTGTCGGAGTATAATTTGGTGCAGTTGCCCCAAAAGATCATATCGTACAATATCTGCATTTGAAATGTCCCCATAAGAGTGAGCCTTCAATTTCCTCTGTTGTAAAAAAGGAGATTTTTCCAGGTTCTGCTCAATTGCTCTGATATGATCTCTGAAGGTTAAGCCAGAGTCGATTGTAACACCAGAAATCTGACTGCCCGTGGCTCAGGAAAATTTAACAATATTTGTCTTTTGGGTGTTCAATGTTGGTTTGTTTGAATTCAAATTAATATCCACAAGCACAAATATTTCTGTCCGACATCCTCTAGATGGCAGTATGTAGTGAGGAGACATTATTGTATAGGGGGAAAATTTGTAGATGAGACATGTAAGTACAAGGGAAAATTTGGAACTCCCAAACTGAAAGCTCGTTTCCACATTTTCACAAGATATTTTCCTGGCAACATGTGGGTGGCCACACATGTCAGGAAAAGTGCTGAGCTCCTATAAAAATTATTTCTTTATCATTGTCAAGTCAGCGCCGAAAGGGGTCGAACAGTTCAATCTAACAAGTTGCCGCAAAACCGTTGTGCTTTGACACAGTAGAGTTGAATTTGGAGGTTGGCGTTTAAAAAAACAATACCGCTTCCTTAAACATTCAAGACACGCTTTAACGTTAGTATAGGTACCACATTACGCTGCAAACATTTTCATCACACGTTTCAAAATTTTCAAAACTTGCACGAATTTTCACATTTTTACATGCTCCCGTTAACGCCTCAAGGAAGCATCATTGTTTGAGGAGAAAACATTTCTCGAATACGACACTCAATCCCCAAGAAACTGCTGTAAATGTAAACCTCAACCAACCTGCTATCATGCGAAAATGGACATACCCCAGTACACCCGCAGTTCTACCTATAAAGTAATCCAAATCCATCTAATAAAAATCATCATAATTTTTTCAGGACTGAATGTCCGTTTCCCGAATTCAAGGAAGAAGAAGAGGCAGTAGAAGAAAAACTAGAAGATGACAAATATAAAGTCAGGCCTCCTAGAGACCTGAGGAGCAAATTTTTGATGATGATGGCGAAGAAAGAAATTGACAAGGCTAAGGCTGAAGAACAAAAGACCTTCGAAGAAGAAAGGTTACGGATATTGGTTAGTTTTTTCTTCTTTCGTGACGCGATATTTTTGACTTAATTCACGTAACAAGGTTGAATATGCTTGAGTCTTAAAGTCGTGTAAAAAATGTTCGTTTTTTTAGGACATATTCAATGAACTAAAATTGATGACTTCCTTTTAAAAACATTTTCAAGAAGCTCGTAGATCGAATTTTTATGTGATAGTATTCCAATTTTCTTGGAATAATGCAATTACAATCAATTTATATTTAATTTGAATATTTTTCAAGTTTCCATATTTTATGTAAGTTTTGCGTTTGGCTGCGCTACTTGCATTATGTTGTGAACAATTTAAAATGTGGTGAATGAGTCCAGTTGTTGATGAATTAACGTTTCATCATTTTTTGGATCGAAACACGAATTTCGGAGATTTAGATGTTTGGGTGTATTCACATATTCTTTCAGCCAAGAAAAACTTTGAGTAGTGTTTTTGAGCCTGATTCCTTAATCACTAGTACATTTCTACGTCGTCGACTTTTAAAAAATGGTGAATGTACCCGGTATAATCTAAACATCTAGTATTTTCCAATTCGTTAGGTATAGGTAACTTGGGTCTTGACTATGATTCCTTAATTGTTGTTATCATTATTATTTATGTTGGGACTAGCTGCATGGACTCACTATGTCGTAATGCCAATAAATAAAAATAACGTATCGAGGTGGAATACACACGATGTGTGATGCCACTCTCTTTCATACTTTGCTCCAGAGAATAACATTATACAGTGGAATCCACTTACAATGAAATTGCTTATACTGGAAACCCGTATATAATGGACACAACTGAAGGTCCTATAAATAATTGCATGTAAAATCCTCGGATATTATAGATTCGCTTAAAATGGACCCTCGCTTATAGCGAACCTTTTTAATCCATTGTATGCGAGCTATTTTGGTAGTTCCCCGAAGCAGATTTAGCTGATGCAATCGTTTACGGCGGTTTGGCTTCGCAGTTTGCATTCGAACTTGGCCACCAGTCTTATACTGTATTTATTAGAGTTACAAACATGTCGGAAAGTGCGAAACGTGCATTCACTTTACACGAAAAGTTCACAATAATTAGTGAGCTTGAGCAGGGTTCATCTCAAGCAAATATGTGCTCGTATGGCTATAAAAAATCCACTGTGCCAAATATTTGGAAAAACTGGGACAACATTAAAAATGACTGGAAATCAAATAGTCAAAAGAAACAATGTGGCTATCGCTGCATCCCCAAGACGATGATATGCTGTTTAAATGGTTTCAACAAAAGCGTGCTAATAATTTTCCAATAAGTGGACCTATGCTACAAATAAAGGCTGAAGAATTTGGGAAATTAATTGGAGATTACTTCAAATGTAGTTCCGGTTGGCTAGACAGGTTTAAGAAAAGATATATGTTTTTGGAAAAATGTGTGGTGAGTCAGCTACAGTTGACAAGAACGTTACCAATGACTGGATTTTTCAAGTTTGGCCCGTAATATCCAGTGATTATTCAGATGAAAGCATATTCAATACAGACGAAACCGGGATAGTTTATAGAATGCTACCAATCACTCAATATATCAATAACCTTTATTTTCATACAGACAATATATAATTGTATTGGAATTGTCAATTTTTCGTTCGCTACAAACCTACAACTAATCTCAAATTGCAATGTTCAAAAATTCATCAACACGATAAAAGCACTTGTTTATCAAAAATTGCTTCAACAGGAACTTAAAGTCGTTAATATTTTTAACCGAGGTAATGTGGCATGGTAAATTATTAAAAAGAAGCGGACCAATTTTATTAGGTGATCGAAATGCCGCTTTTGATTTGGTAAAGTTTACATATAAATTATTACAAGTCTTTGTATCATAATTATGCATATCACGATTCCGCTTGAATTTTTCATTGTTTTTGAAATCATGTAAGCACAATTCATATATATACAACGAAGGGGCAGTTAAAATGTTGAAACTTATAAAATATTTTTTGCAACTTTCTGTTGGTGAGATGCCTGCTAATGATCGGATGCATCTTTTTTTGAGACACAAATACATCTTCAGAGCGCGTTGACCAACCCCAGAAACATACTCCATATCGTAATCTCGAATCCACATTAGCAAAATAAACTTGTATCAATTGTTCAGCTGTTAAGATGGTTTTTAATTGCCTCAACACATAGCTTTGAGAGTACATTTTTGATGTGAGAAATTCGCAGTGGGCCTTCCAATTTAAGTTCGAATCAAAATGAACTCCAAGAAATTTCACATCTCCTCTAAAATCGAGTTGATCGTCACCCAATCTAACTTGAAACCCTTCTACAGTTTTTTGAGCATGATGAAAACGAATAAGCGTTGTTTTGGAAGGATTCAAGTAAAGTGAGTACTGGTTAAACCATGTATTGATATTCCTAATTGAGTTGTTACGTTTATCTTCCAAAATTGTATTTGAATTACTTGATATTATCGCAGAAACGTCATCAGCATATGCTGTAAAATGGGTATCTGGATGAACATTATCAAACCGATTAATGTATAAGAGGAAAAAGATTGGTCCAAGAATAGAGCCCTGAGGGACTCCAATCGAGATGTCTAACGTACTTGACACATAGTTTTTCATATTGTTCCCTGCATCAAGATATTCTACTGAAACATACTGTTTTCTTTGGACTAAAAACGATCTGGCCCATTTAAGAGACTGACCGACAAAACCATATTCAACAACAATCTCCAAGAATTTGTTGTGATCAACGCAGTCGAATGCCCTACTGAGATCACAAAATACCCCAGTAGGGCACTCGCCCGCGTCGATGTATTCTATAAGCTTCTCATAAAAGGAATGTATGGCTGACATTGTGGTCTTACCATCTATGAAACCATGCTGGTTTTGAGACAAAATATTGTTGTTCTTAAGATGAAGAAGAGGTCTATCCAAATAGGCATATTCAAACACTTTAGAAAGTACAGACGGCACAGTGATTGCCCTGTAGTTTGTAATATCAAGCTCGTTCCCCTTTTTTAGAATTGGTATAACTTTGCCTAGTTTCAGCCTACTTGGGAACTCTCCGCAGCAAAATGAGATATTTATAAGGTGTGTTATTTGTTTTATTATAAGATGTACTTCTTTTACCAGAAAATTGGGAATGTCATCAAAACCGCAAGATTTGGAATTTTTTAATTTTTTCAAAAGTAAGTTACTGAGCTCATTATCTGTATAAGGGTAAAGTTTGAAATAATTTTTGACATTAAATTTGAAATCAGCTGCACTATCTGAGGTATTAATTTTTTGTATTATATCATCTGGAGCCTTTTTAAAAAAATCATTGAATATATTTGCCAACAGCTGAGGGTCGTACACTTTTTCATTTTGATCTTTATGTAGAACTATATTTTTTCGAACTTTGTTCTCATTTTTAGCTGCATTGACCACTTGCCAGCACGCTTTGGTGGTATTTTTAGACAATACAATTTTGTTTTGGTAGAATGATCTTTTTGTGTCTCTGATCAATTTTTTATGTGCCTTTTTAGCATCATTATACAGTGACTTTAGTCTTGCATTTATTTGTGAAGTATGATATAAATCTTTCAAATTATTGCTTGAATTTCTTACGTTATGTGTAACCCAACTTTTTGAGCCGTTTCCCTTACAGACTTTATGTAAAGGGAAATGATTATTAAAATAGTACAAAAATATATTAAAAAAATTTCCAAACGACTCAGAAACTGTAAAGGTAGAGTAAACTGACAGCCAAGATTCGTTTAGATAAAACTCATAAATTAAAATGTGAAACTTGCAATGGAGGGAAACTATCAAAACAGCGAATAACTGTTATGATTTGTGCTAATGCTTCTACTGAAAAATGGAAACTATTGATAATAGGTAAGTGAATGAATAGAAATTCATGTCCTTAATTTTTTGATATTCAATAGCAGTGCTGCAAAGAATTTATGACCTTTTTTAATTTCAGAGAAATTTAAGAATCCCAGGTGTTTCATAAATGTTAAAACAATTCCCGTCGATTATGTTGGAAATAATAAAGCTTGGACGATTTATCAATATTTGAAGAATATTTAAAAAAGTAAGACGCTGAACTTGTTAAGAAAAATCGTAAAATTTTGCTCTTGGACAATAACTTCCCCGCTCATCCAAATATTTCACCTAATAACATCAACCTTCAATTTTTTCCACCCAATGTGGCATCAGTTCTGCAACCAATGGACCAGGGTGTCATTTGGAGTCTTGAACAAATGTATCGGAAACATATGTTGATGAAAATTATCGAGCTTCAAGAAGATGTCAACATTACCAAAGCTGTCACCATTTTAGATGCTATAAATTTGCTTACTATTGCATGGGAATTGGTTACTCCAGAAACGATGCGCAATTGTTTTCGCCATGGTGGAGGGTGAAAAACATAACTGAAATAGTCAACGATTTTAATCCAGAAAACGAAATTCCATTAAATGATTTACTGAAAACTAATAGTTTACTGAATATAGACAAGTTTAATGAGTATGTGAATGTTGACAATAATTTAATGGCAATACTGAAATTGTTAGACTCCAATTTGGTTAATGAAGGATCCGTTGATAACGAACAGGAAGACGAACTAGAAAACAACATTGAAGGATAGCTTCCAGTGACAACGAAGGACGCATTAGACTGCGTGAAAAAGTTGCAACGTTATTTTCAGCAAGAAGACAGTACAGCCACACTTACCAAATTAAATAAAATTCAACTTGCTGTTCTAAATAATTATACAAAAAAACAATCTATTCAAATAAAAATTATTAGCTTTTTTACCAGATAGTTGACAGTTTTTGCAGACAGTACGTAAGCCTGTAATATGTGTATCAGATTCTGAAAAAATGCAAATTCCATAATTACGTATAACTTTTTTGTATTTATCTTTATTTATGTAATACATGTTAAACAAACACATTTTAAGCCTTTAATATGTTATTTCTGATGCTTTTTTCATTAAAAAAGTGTTTCTTTTAAGATGGTCATCCGCCTATAATAGACTATTTGTCACAGTCCAGCCGAGTCCATTATAAGCGGGTTGTACTGTACTCCTGTTTTGTGAAATATGAGTAGTACGTTCCTGTAATTGAGCACTTTTCACCGTAGGAGGAAGAAAAGAGGCCACCAGATGACCTAGAAGGTGAAAGAGTTCACGCATGGGTAGCAATATTGGATGGAGAAAGGAAAGTAGACCAACCATTTTTCATTGAACCTAGTACAGGAATGGCCCACCCGTTGGACACCGACCTATATTTGGGAATTGAAAGTGTTTGGAATCATCTGAATTATTGGGTAGGTGTCGGTCATATCAAAAATTTGGTCATCAAACAGTTTATCTAACAAAAAATATGAATGGAGGCCCTTCATCCTACAACAAAGCGAACTGGTTGGATTTGTCTAACCATTATCATAGATAAGGATCCAAGTTCAAGCTCTAGTTGAAGATAAAGATCTCTCGAATTTACCTTCCATGCCAATTGGCAAGGAGGTAGTGTAATCACGAGACAAAAAAATAACACTATACCATACTACACATGCTGCTCTTGTTCGTCCGATCAAAGCCAGCCAACCATTGGCAGCTGTTTAGTGCTTTTTGGCTACTCATTAGCATAGTCCAGGCTTGATCAATCGTCTCTGGACAACGAACGAAAGCACAGCAACTGTCATCTATCCAGGAGGTACGGTCTATGGAAATAAGACAATGCCACACGCCATCTACAGCCAGAATCGACCACTGCAAACAGTGTATAGTCACTACCAGGGTGTCTGCGCAACATAGCAGACTGAGATCATCACATTTCCAACTGGTCTTCGCAGTGGTGGACTCTGGCAATAGATGGCGAGTGGAGCTGTCTTACTCCGAGATTAGACTATGCTTTGCTTGTTACATGACCGTGCACATTAAGAAAAATTACGTTACTCATTTCCGTCGGTCTGTTTATCCGCTAATGCATGTTCCTTCTATAACTCGGAAAGTACCTCTCGGATTTTTATGAGATTTTGACACAATGCTGTGAGTTTAAAGAATTGTTCCTGTGGCGGTAGAGCTACGGCCGAAAAAAAATATACAAAAATCACTGAAAATTCTTTTCTCGGCTTTTTAAAGGCTCCTGCTCATTTTACAAAATTTTTTGGAAGATATATTTTCGATATACCTGCCATTAAAACAAAAATATGATTTTTGAGAGATTGTTTATTTTCTATAGTTTAAGGTGTAATGGTTTACTATACAGGGTGTTCCTTAATGCGAATATTTAAGGGTGTGAATCTGCATGAAAAATTATTGTTAATTTGCTTTATAAACTATGGTCCAGGAATGTTTCCTTACAAAAACTCAAGGTGTTGAAGTTTTAGGAAAAAAATGGAAATTAATTAATATTTTCAGAACTGCTTCAGATATTTCACTGATATTTAGTACGTAGTAAAAGTTAATAAATTTGCATATTTTTCAATACAAAAATAGTTTTTAGCTTTAACAGTGGCGTGCGTACGGGTATTGACTTCAATATTTAAAAAAAATGGTACACCAATGGTTTGCCAAATAAAAATTATTTTTGAATTCCCTGTCAATTTAAAACAAATAATATCTCTCGAATTGTTTTTCTTCGATGCGCCATTTTTGAGTAACAAAATAAAAACCGTTCTATTGTCTAACTTGCAAAATTATTAATTTAACTGGAAAAATTAAACACATTAGGGGTAATGAACAACAACAACTGACCAACATAAACATAACATTGAAACCAACTAAATGATTAAAAAAATTGTTGAAAATAGCCCTCTTCCCTTAGAATGCATGCTTCCCTCCTTATCATGGAATTGCGCGCTCATTGAAATATCCCTGTGTCTTTTATTATATCACAAGCTGCAACTATTCTAATCTAAACTGTTGAGGTCTGGGGACCTTGGTGGCCATTCTTGGGGCCCACCGCGGCCAATCCATCGATTTGGATAAACAGTTTGTAAATAATTACGAACCGCTTCACTGAAATGCGCTGGTGCACCATCATGCATGTATGTACCACATATTGTTTCTTATTACTAACGGAACATCATCAAGCACAAAGGCAACTGTTGTTGAAGAAAATTGAGGTAAGTCTATCCGTCAAGTCGTCCCGGCAAGAAGAATGGGCCAATAAAGTGGTTGCCAATAATTCCTGCCCATACGTTAACCGAAAATTGGTGTTGGAAATGGGTTACCGCATAGGGATTTTCTTCTGCCCACAAATCATTATTGTGGAAATTCTGAATGGCATTTCGAGAAAAATTAGCTTCGTCCGTGAACAGAATCATTGATTCAAATTGCGGATTTTGTATATTTTTTTGAAGATACCACTGACAAAAGGTGACACACCTTGGAAAATCAATGGGAAGTAATGCCTGTACTCTTAAAGGACGACGATGGATATTAGAACAGGTTCGACTATCTGGCAAAGTACGATTGGGATATCTCTGGTGATAAGTCCGTCTGGCTTGCTCACCATTACCGTCGGCAAGGCCATATACGTAATGCATTTCCGCCATTTCTGCATTTGAATAATTCACCATTATTAACAAGATTGTAAAAACTAAATAATGAAAACGATGTCACAGCGAACAGATTTGAATAACAGAGACTTGTCAGATGTCAAAAGCCAGTGACATATTCCAGAGTAGCTAGATATTTATTGCTAAATTGCATTCATCAATTATTACATTTATTTGGCAAAAAAACATTGGCGTACCATTTTTTTTCTTAAAAAATATCGAAGTCAATACCCGTACGCACGCCACCGTTAAAGTTAAAAATTATTTTTGCATTGAAAAACATGCAGCTTTATTAACTTTCACTGCGTACGAAATATCAGTGAAATCTCTGAGGCGGTTCTGAAAATACTAATTAATTCCCATTTTTTCCTAAAACTTTAGCACCCCGAGTTTTTGTAAGGAAACATGTTTGGACCATAGTTTATAAAGCAAACTAACATTAATTTTTCATGTAGATTCACACCCTTAAATATTCGCATATCATTAAAGAACACCCTGTATATCGTACCTACTTTAATGAACATAATTAGACGAACAAATCCAAGTTTACGTGGAAAGTGATCTAAAAAGTAACTCCCAGAACTAAATAAACGCATCATGGAGGCGAAAAAGCAAACTGCAAGAAAATGTGAGATCAAGAGCCTAAACGTACTTAGACAAGTTTAGATACCATTTAACTCTCTTGACTTGACCTTTTGCATCAGAAACCGTAATAAAAGTACGGGTCGTATAGAGTCGATCTCCTTGATGCAATTGTTTCAGGTTAATCTGCAGGACTGCTCAGAAGGTATAGGAGCATTAGAATACAATTTAAAAGACGTAAAGAAATGGGAACATCTTCTGGTGGGAGAGCCGTACGCCTGGAGACAATACAAACCTAAAGAATTTGGAGAAGAAGAAGGGGAAATAAGAGATATGTACGATGAACAACATTTAGATATGCCGATGCCATGGAGTTCGAAAATTTCTATACCACACGAATGTAAGTGTGTAGTATTAGAAATTTAGTAAAACTGTACGTTCCGTTCCTTCAGGATAGTAAAACGATCAGCTCATTTAAAACGAAATACTTAGGTAGATACAGCACTTGGAGCACTTAACGCCGATACTCGTTGGAGGTGAAAATCCTCATAGAAATGCTGGAACTCCGATACTGGAATAGCCTTCATCTGGTCGGTTACAGCCGTTTGCATGATTTCGACTGTCCCCTGAGGTGATTTCCAAGCTTCGGGAAGAGAAAAAAGTCACAAGGACTCAAGTAAGGCGAATGAGGAGGCAGAGGAGCCACAGGAATGCTTATTGACATTGCTGTGTGACAAGGAGCATTATCGTGATGCAACAGCCAAGAACGCAGGGGTTCCCGACTTGCTTTCGGAAAACGGCTGGTTCGGTTTCATACAGTAGGTTATATTGATGCCAAAAGTGCAAAAAAACTTTTTTGATTTCGGCCATTTTAACGAATAATAGTCTATTTTTGGAATTCAGCTTATAAACAACAGGAAGGGGGGTTCAGAAACGGGGGTTCCGGACGTGGTTTGGTATAACGGCTGATATGGTGTAATTGATTAAGTCATATTTGTGCGAGAAGTGCACAAAACTTGTTGGTCTTCGGCGGTTTCGAAAAACTATAGATGATTATATAGCTTCTAAAATATTGAGTTTTAAAGGGGGTCAATCGGTCAATTTGGCATGTCTGTGACCAGTTTGGCACAGATTTGTACTTAGCGTAAGTAAAATATGATTTATCTAATCAATTAAGGTTCATTTCCTTGTAATATCAATTTTCTCGCGTTACTCCTCACTTTGGAGAAGGTTTTGGAGGAGGGAAGTACCACTCTTACAGTACATAGAAAGCCATTAAAACAATCTAACTACGTGAAAACCGCATCGATTTATGTGTATTTGGACCCACATTACGTCCGTAGAAGTGGTAATGACAAAATTTCGGCACTACTGCCTTTTTATCGTTTCGATCAGAACTTCAACCGCATCAAGATCCCGGATTCTATCGACATTTTCATCGGCTCTTGAAGATGAAGGACTTCCGCTTCGTGGTTCATCTTCAATCGACTCTCACGCTTCTGAAAATGCCTTAAACCATCGAGAAACCTGGGCCTCTGGCAAAACACTCTCTCCGTAGGCCTTTAAAATGAGGTATCATATGACCCCTCTTTCCATTTAAGATTTTAGGGTTGGTGTCACTCCCGCTTAGGGGGCTGCACGTGCTAACATGATTTTTTGCCAAACTTGTGTCCCCCTCGAAAACAAAATCGACGGGTCTCAGCGATTTTCCAAAAAAAACTGAGATGCCAGTAAATGCGCCTGTTTCGTTTTCGATCCGCCACCCTGTATATATATATATATATATATATAAGTGTATCGTCAGCAAATCTTTGAATTTTGCAGTGTTCTAAAATGTCAGAGATATCATTTATATGAATAATAAATAGTAACGGCCCTAATTTACTCCCTTGTGGCACCCCTACTGATATATTTTGAACACTTGACATAATATTTCCAACTTTAGTTTTTTGACTTCTATTTACTAAATAATTTTGTAAAATGTGTAATACTGATCCTTTAAAGCCATAGTGGCGCAATTTCATTAACAATTTTTTCCTATCTATAGCCTCAAATGCCCTTTTGAAGTCTAAAGATATTGTTACAATATATTCTTTCTCATCTATACTTCTTCTCCAGTCTTTCACCACCATTTGGAATGATACAACTGATCGAACCAAAGACTGAAAACCATACAATAACACAAAGAGTTTCCCAAACACCCTGTTTATTTCTAGTGCTGAAAAGGAGATTTCCTGACGGTGGTAAAGCGACCTACTTCAAAAGATCTTTACTCGAAGAATTCGCACCATACACCTTAGATGATGGATTGGTTAAGAAGATCACCAGATTTTCCGACTTCTACTATACGGATATCACAACCATAGAGGATTACTACGAAAACAGGAGCGACAAGTTATATATGAGCATATATGATAACACGACTGGGATAGTTACTGATTATTTCAAGTCTGGAAGAGAAGATGGTGCTATAAGTAAGCCTTTACTTTTTCTCCATTAAAATTGATTTTACTCTGGTAATCCAGATGGAAAACTTGATACATCCTTACTATAACAAGGAATATTTTGAATTCATAGATGTTCAAAAAATGTCACCATTGTTTTCCTAAGAATTTTTTAATCATGAAAAGACCATTAAAAACAATAAATGGTAAAAACAAACGTCGGCGAAGAAACAGGCTTTCTTTTATGTGCCACTGCTATTTTACTTAAACGCTAATGTTCGAAAAAAAAATGTGCACGAAGTACGAAGAACAGTTATTTCATATTACAATTCATACATCGCAGTTGAAGAATTCAAAATCTGGAGATGGGGAAATATACGGAGTGTTACATTTTGCGTCTTAAAGTATCCTGAACAATGACTTAAGGAGCAGATATGTAGATATACTCAAAATTCATAACACACCGTAAAGTGTTTATAATAACATAGGTCAACATTTAATCTAAGAGTTGGATCCCATGGAAGTATCTTAGAGTTTTTGAGACGCTCAATAATGTGGGGGACACTTGATCAGTTGACCTCTATAACTACAGACGCAAGGTCATTACAAGGTTAAACTTGGAAAAATCTCTGAAACTTTTTTGGGTGACTAAATCGCTAAAATGCAAGTCTAGAGTTTGTTCTTCTCGGCAAAGTCGTCCCTTTTGACATTTGAATAATCTTAATCCGACTTTAAAGTAACCTCCAGAAAGAATACACCAGAGTCAAACATTTTTACACACGTGTACTTTAAAACAACCTCAGCCTGACCTCGATATAGCTTTTGGATGGATTCAGATTCAGCGACCTTGAATGCGAGTGGAGACTTCAGGCAGTCTTACTAAACTACCTTAATGTGTCCTTGAAATAACCTATAGATGACCTCGCCGCGTAAAACATGTGATTGGAATTCAGATGCCCAATAAACCTATAGGTGGAGGTCTTACAGTAGATTTGGTCTACTCGCCATTGGACAAACTCCCCATTTTACTGAAGGTTTACGATTCCGAAAGTTTTTGAACCACCCTTCGACTTCATAGGGAAATAGAAAATAGTTTTTATTAGGTTATTCCCTTACAACATTCAATGTTTTATTCCCTTCGATTTGTCCAATCCTAATTTGGTCGTTTTGTCTTTTGCAGAGCATGTTTACAATAGACATAACGATGAGAGAGACGCCGAGAGAAGAATATTCTTCAATAACAAAGCACGTTTCGACAGCTTATCTAAGATAGAATGTGGAGGCAGTAAACTAACTGAGCATTACTTTGATCGTGAAGACAAGTAAGTGGCCGTGTATGTTTTAATAAGACACAATGATACTGAATAATGCTCCGTCAGACCCTATAATCTGCAAATTTTCAGATTATATTTCCGTGAGGTTACTTATGTAACAGATTCGAAAGGGAAAATGGTGGAGAAGGTTTCAGGACGTAGTCCTCTTCATGTAAGTAAAAAATTATGTCAATTAGACTGACTGCCGAGGGTTGAGAAACGACAATAAAAAAGATACCTTTGCATTCAAATTTTGAAAAACGGTAGATCTGGCAACAATGTATCTAATAAGAAATGATCGGTTATCCCCGTGATCAAAATCTGGCGAAATGAGAAAAAAACGATCTCAAAACTTCTAGCCTGATCGAGGGCGTGGTGATCTAAGCGAGTACCAGCTGCTGCGCATGCGCAGGGTAAGATTATATTAGGAAACCCGGCCGCTTGAATCTTCAGGTATCTATTTTTTTTATGAAGCTTAATTTCTATGAATAATGAATAATTACAGCAGAGTTTTCTGGCCCAGGCAACCCTGTTGTAATCTTTGAAAAAAAAACAGATACCTACGGTCCACTGTCACGTCATGGCGGTATTTTAACAGACATATATGTTATGACCACGTATCTCCCTGCAATCGTCGATCACGCCCAACTAGCAAAGTAGTGCTATAAGCTTTTGGTAAAAGAACGGTTCAACCATAAAAGCTCTCTATTGTTGTTGCCTGAACACCAACATACTGGCTTAATGTTGTGTGGAATGCAAATTTGCTTTCTGCAACATATGTGCTCTAAAATGAGGTGTTTAAAATTTTCTTATAGCATAGTTATACAACACCTTATAGGGCAAATTTTTAACTGTTGCATAAACGTTTATACAGCTATTTTATACGGCGTATTTGCAAGTTAGTCAAAATGGTTGTGTTATGGAACCCATGATAACATTTATAAAACAAACCCGAGCCTTGTTGCTTTGCTGTGCAAATTTACTACTTTAGCCAACAAATTGCTCCCAACGAAAGCACTTATACTACTGTTGTTTAGCAACTGTTAACGGCTGTACATATGCAACAATATTACAACTTTTGTAGTACAAAATTGCTGTGCTCGGCATACATTTGTTTCTAAATATGTTGGTATACAACTTCACCTTAACCTAACTTTCTGCTGTCATATCTTTGTTAAAATGTCATAACCAATGTTTTAAGACAAACAACGCATGCATATTGGTTCAAAAGGTTTTATCAACTGTTCAAACAGAAGATATAGATCTGGTAAAAATTATGGGTAAATCATTCGACTCTGTCGGTATTTCATTTCAGAGATTTGTCAAATTGTTGTATAACACCTGCAGGCAACACCAAAATATTCTAATAAACTATGGACGATGCCATGATTTTACACAACCACCCGCCATATTGGGCAAACATTTATTCCTCTATTTAATATTAAATAATTATGTTTTAGTTCGAAATTACAGATATAAAGTGATGAACATTAGTGTAATTGTGTCTAAATATAGGATTTGTGGAAGATTTAACGCAGATAAGTTCAGTTTTCCATCTTAAGAATCTAGACATACTTTTGATCATTATTAAAATATGCATCAAATAAAAAGCCCGTAGAAATTGCGTAACTACTTTGCACGATAATCACAACAAAATTTGCTGCGCAGGTAATTCAATAGCCCTATATCACAGTGTAGACGTTTATCATATACCTGTGTATGAAATTCACAATGGCCGATATGTAAGTAAACAAGATGACTGTTAATGTGTTAGTTATATATTCTTCACTTCGTCTATACAATACATAAGAAATAGTTTGGTTGCAATGAAGTAGAATCACCTAACAGAATAGTTGTATAGTTATACAACCTCTTAAATGAATGAAGTGTCCTATTAGGTGTGCCCATTCCGATTGCATAGCTGTTCTAAGAGCGTTTTGTCAATGTTCTTACAGCATACAATGCTGTGCAAGGAAGCCTGTATAATCGTTCTTGCAACTCTAGTAGGAGTGATAATTGTAAGTTGGGCACTACAAAGCGTTTCAGTTTCCTTTCATTTGGCATCGCGAAAGCACGTCCTCTCGTTGAGAAGATGTCAAGTGATGATGACGATAACATACAACTTTATTAGAAGGCGTCGAATCAGGCCAAGATTGTATTGGCTCCATTCATCCCAGCGTTGCCAGATGGGTCGAACCGAATTTCCCATGAAGCAAAAAATTAATAATTTCAATATTTTTTAAAAATGTTTGTTAAATATTTGTAGCGACAGATTTTTTAATATTTAATAAATATATTCCTTATATATTTATAAAATATTTATTATAGATATTTTTAGTATATATAATTCCAAATATTTAGAAAATATATTAGGAAAGATTTTTAAATATCAATTTTATATTTTGATGAAATATCTAAAAATTTTCGTAAATATGTATGGATTTTCATCATCGATGTGATACATATTTTCAGTGTATATAGAAATTTCTCCATTGGTTATTTTAGCAAAACCTGTAGGAATGCTTATATAAAATTGGGTGTATAAAGAAAATTCATTTTAGATGTAATGGTTTAATTTGCTAGAAAAATATTATTAAAAAAGCATTCTAAGCCTCTTCTGCATCTTGCAAGTCCACTGCTCTAAAAAACAAACTTACTAATTATGAAGTATTATTGAATACATAAGCTGCTTTCCAGTTTATTTATGGGAATATAAAATGCAGTGGAACAATATTGGTGCAGAGCATGGTGAGTTACTCCGAGTAGGACCCCACAAGGCTTGTTATTTATGGTCTTCTGAGTACCTTTATACTCAACTGGCACAATAATGTTTACCAGTCAGATAAATTAACCTATGTAATTATCGAAAAACTTACCCTTTTCCACAAAAAAACACTCAGGAAAGCACGCATCATACTGAAAGTCACAGGTAAGCTTGCTATTATCCCATTGGTCGCTCGAGGTCACACGCATATGCGCCGTAGCCGAAAATATTTAATGAATATTTTCTATATATTGGAGATCTAATATTTTCCATAGATTGAAAAGTAAATATTTAATGAATATGGTAAAAGAAATATTTTATTTAAAATATTTAAAAGATATTGAATAAATATTTAATTAAAATATTATATTACAAATATTTATTAAATGTTTGTTTAAGAAAACAAATATTGAAATAAGATAAAAATATCATTAAATATTAAATAAATATTTAATGAATATTTCGTACTATCGGGGTACTTTTTCAAAAAAAGAATCCCCCAATCACAGTCAATCAATGGAAAAGGATAGGCTTGGTTTAAAGAGCGGCTGGATACTTTCTATCCGCGAAAAGTGTAATTTCCTCCAGAACATATTCGCGAAGTAGAAATCTCCAAAATTCGAGGGATCAATCCCGAACATGGCAACCCTGTCAAAGCAATACGGGTATTCTAGGCGTTAAGTTTCGAGGCTGAATAACACGTTTAGAGCCTAATATCAAATGATAATTAAAACTATATTATAGTAGTTGCATGCTTGGTAGATTTGCGATCTATTTCACATCGTTAATTTAACAGATTGTAAATAAGTATGGTTTAAACGCACAAAAATACAGAGATAATAAGTTTACAGGTTTCATTTCACGTAAGTACCGCCTTCGAATGTCTTGAGAGCAACGTTTCTCAACCTGCGGTTTAGGCGATAAGAAGAATAGAAAATAGAAGAGCGTGAGAGTATAGTGATTCACAAGTCGTGACCAAAAATGAAACATCATACACAGGACCGCATTTTAAGGGAGGGTCTTCTATGTAACATTATTTTCTCAAGGGCTTCATTAAAAAGATATGGGTGTTGAAGTTTAAAAATAAAAAACATATTTTTTTCAATATCCTTTCAAATTCAATAATTTTAATCCCAGGTTCTTGCGAGACATTCCCGTATACGTATACAGGCTGATTCACAAGTCGTGACCAAAAATGAAACATCATACACAGGACCGCATTTCATTAAAAAGATACGGGGTGTTGAATTTTAAAAATAAAAAACGATAATGCGTGTTTGTGGCTGGAAATTGTTAATAAAGACTTACTTTCAAATTTCATTATTACATGTCTACATGAATTGCAGCTGTCCCGTGTTTTCACCTCAAGGAGGCCACAAAACACGGCGCCGTGGGCGTGAACGTTTGTAATTTGAGGATCATTTGACACTCCCCCGCCCATATACAATTCGCAATTCTGGCCCCAGCGTGTAGATCCGGCACTGATACTAGCGTATATCAAAAAACATTCTTCATACCCCAAAAATAATGATGTATTGAGGGCCAGTACTCTAAATGACTAAGCTCATTTCAATTTCACTGTACTCAGTCTCCGCACCTCGATATCTGACATGCTTAGCCTATAGTGTTATACAGGGTGTTCCTTAATGATATGCGAATATTTAAGGGTGTTTCCTTACAAAAACTCGGGGTGTTGAAGTTTTAGGAAAAAAATGGAAGTTAATTAATATTTTCAGAACCGCTTCAGATATTTCACTAATATTTAGTACGTAGTGAAAGTTAATGAGGTTGCATATTTTTCAATGCAAAAATAATGTTTAGCTTTAACAGTGGCGTGCGTACGGGTATTGACTTCGATATTTTTCAAGAAAAAAATGGTACGCCAATGGTTTTTTGCCAGGTAAAAAATATTTTTTGTTGTTGAATTGTTTTCCTTCGATGCGCCGTTTTTGAGTAAAAAAATAAAAACCGTTCTATTGTCTAACTTGCAAAATTATTATTAATTTAATTGGAAAAATTAAACACATTAGGGGTAATGAACAACAACCACTGACAACATAAACATGACATTAAAACCAACGAAATCACTTAGTATGCATGCTTCTGCACTCCTTCTCATGGAATTGCGCACTACTCGAAATATCCCTGGAGTGTTTTTTATTCTTATCACAAGCTGCAAATATTCTTTCTCTTAATTCCTCTACAGTGTTAATGGGATTCTTGTACACTAGTGTCTTAAGATAGCCCCACAAAAAGAAATCTAAACTGTTGAGGTCTGGGGACGTTGGTCGCCATTCTTGGGGCCCACCGCGGCTAATCCAACGATTTGGATAAACAGTTTGTAAATAATGACGAACCGCTATACTGAAATGTGCTGGCGCACCATCATGCATGTACCAAACATTGTTTCTTACTACTAACGGAACATCATCAAGCAGCAACGGCAACTGTTGTTGAAGAAAATTGAGGAATGTCTGTACGTCAAGTCGTTCCGGCAAGAGGAATGAGCCAATAAAGTTTTTGCCAATAATTCCTGTCCATACGTTAACCGAAAATTGGTGTTGGAAATGGGTTTCGGTTACGGCATAGGGATTTTCTTCAGCCCACAAATGATTATTGTGGAAATTCTGAATGGCATTTCGAGAAAAATTAGCTTCGTCCGTGAACAGAATCATTGATTCATATTGCGGATTTTATGTAGTTTTTTGAAGATACCACTGACAAAAGATCACACGCCTTGAAAAATCAATGGGAAGTAATGCCTGTACTCGTAAAATATGGTAAAGATATAACAAAAAATCCACTAAAATTCTACAAACAATTTGATGGCAAATATTTAAGTGACCAGCCATCTTCCTTGTACTCGTTTCAGGATGTTCTTCGACTTCGTGCAGCACTGCTTCCTCAATTTCAGGTGTTATCACACTTAGAGGTCTACCTTCAGATGTTCCTTTTCGGACAGAACCAGTTTTAACAAGATGACTATGAATATTGGAAAAGGTTCGACAATCTGGCAAAGCACGATCGGGATATCTCTGGTGATAAATACGTCTGGCTTGCCCACCATTACCGTCGGCAAGGCCATATACGTAATGCATTTCCGCCATTTCTGCGTTTGAATAATTCACCATTATTGACAAGATTGTAAAAACTAAATAATGAAAAAGATGTCACAGCGAACAGATTTGAATAACAGAGACTTGTCAGACGTCAAAAGCCAATGACATATTCCAGAGCAACTAGATATTTATTGCTAAATTGCATTCTTCTCAATTATTTCATTAATTTTCTCGGACAATAGAACGGTTTTTATTTTTTTACACAAAAATGGCGCATCGAATGAAAGCAAGAAAGCAACTCAAGAGAGATCATTTGTTTCAAATTGAACGGAGAATTCAAAAATTTTTGTTTGGCAAAAAACCATTGGCGTCCCATTTTTTTCCTAAAAAATATTGAAGTCAATACCCGTAAGCACACCATTGTTAAAGCTAAAAATTATTCTTGCATTAAAAAATATACAACTTTATTAACTTTCACCACTTACTAAATATCAGTGAAATACCTGAAGCGGTTCTGAAAATATTAATTGATTTCCTTTTTTCCTAAAAGTTCAACACCCCGAGTTTTGGTCGGAAACATTTTTGGACCATAGTTTTCTAAAGCAAACTAACATTAATTTTTCATGTAGTTTCACACCCTTAAATATTCGCATATCGTTAGGGAACACCCTGTATATTTCTTCATACTCACTGAATATATGCGCATAATACACCTTTCATTTCAAATGCAATGTATCAGGAGGAAATAGAGAAAGTAACTTTATACTCACTAGTCACGAGTAGACGCCATTTTGCACTGTGGAGTTTCTGCAAATGTTCTGATAAGTTTTTTGTCCACTGTTTTCACACAAAATTCGACCGAAATACGTAAAATCACTCGCGCACTTTTAATCTATTCCTCGCCGATCAATGTTATCGATTTTGATCAAGTTATTCCTGAACAATCAATAAGAAATCGCGCCCCGAAAAAGAACGCGGCGACGAAACCGTTGAGGTAAAGATAAAAACGATAATTAAAGGAAACAATCCATGCTGGCCAATGACGCCTTGATTTTTCCGGATTTTAAAGTTGGCCGGTCTGACGCGCGACGGGCAGTGTAATTCCAGGAAAAATGATTATAGACTAGTCGACAAGGGGACAAAAATCCTTGCATTTGTGAACGTGATATTATTTTTAACAAGAAAGCCCTTGTATTTATTTTAATAATGTGTTGGTGCATTGATTATCATAATTCCATCAGAAGATTAAGGATCGACTTCTGTTGCCGTATCAATAAATAGTATGTTAGATATAGTTGATACAGTCTTTCGTGTATTAATATTAGTTGGAACAAAACAATTTTTTAAAGTGTGTATCTTTAGATTTCAAAGATTTGCAAACTTTTACAATCCTAGCGCTGGGTGATCGAAATAATGGCCTGGCGCTTCCAATATTTTGGTGTTAGAAATAATTCCGGTTTTAGAGTATGGAATTTTAAAGTGTACTTAGCTTCCAAATTTTTAACCTAGTTTCTTCGGTCTAGGTTAGATAAGTGGATAACGTTATCACTTTGTAAATAGGTATTGAATTCCTCTAACCTTTTTTATAATAGTGTCTTTGAAATAGTCTTGTCGAGTAGGCTGACTCGATACTCCTCTATGTTACACTTCTCTTTAGCGGGATACAATTTCAAAGAATCATGTTTTACTACTTCTTACGACTAATAATTGAAAATACAACTAAGTAACAACTTTTTTAGAAAGTTATCCAGAAATTCAATCGTGATGAATCGAAAAAGGCTGACGATGACATTGCTGTTCAAGAATTCGATTTGAAGGACAGAATTATTAACGTCAAGTTCCAGTATGGGAAAAACAACGTCACTGCAACCACAAGGACATTCATCAAACCTCCAATATCTGAAATGGGGGAAGGTAATTAATTCTAAAGGGTGATTACCGTGTGAATTTATTTGACGCCCCTTTTATTTAGACGTACACAAATATCTAGTAGAATAAGTTAATCAATTGTTGAATATTTTATTTGCTTTCATTTTTAGGAATGAAGTTCAAGCCAGAGTTAACCTACGGATACCAGGCAGACATTAGAGCTAAGCCGCCCAGACAGCTGAATCTGTATCTTCTTTTCGAAGATCAACTTAAGGCAGAGGAAAAGGTGTTGAATCAAATACGAGATATGGAAACTCAGGTAAGACGCAGGCTACTGCTTTCTTTGGGCTTTGTGGATACGATCAAGGGACTTCAAGACGAAAAAAAAATCCGCGTGACTATTAATAAGCAATTTAGCTATAAAATTCATCCGAATGTGAAACAGAAATATTTTGGACAGGTATAAAATGTTCATGGATCACTCTAGCCTTATCCATCGGAACTCATAAGAAATTGGTAAGTAGGTCGACCCTGCACTTAATACGTAAGGCTGTCATCAACTTATAGAGGATTATATTCGGCACAAGTTAGTCCCTCTTGGAAAAAGTTTGATACGGATGTGTAACAGAGGAATTAAACTTGTCATGTCAGTCAAACAGGCTCATACAATTAGTCCATAGTTCCCACAGATTTGATAACAGGACCGACTGAAAGTGTCCGTTCAAGAGGCGCGTCCGTATAAAAGAAATACGACAAAAATCGTGTTTTTAATGAAAACTTGAAAACATTTAAAACGTATATGTATATAAACGTTTATAAAATAAACAAAAACCTTTAAACTTAAGAAAAAAGGTTCGTTACCTTTAAATATACAGGGTGTAAACGCTATGGCAGTCATTATTTAAACGGGTAATAGGGGGCGGTCAAGACAAGTCAAAAGGTTTATATGACCCATGGTCCAAAAGTCAATAGATTTTTGTCTAAATGGCTTTATAGTTTACAACTTTAAGTGCTTTATATCGACCACAATCACCACAATCTTACTTATTTTTATAATCTAATCTAAAACGTTTTTAAATTGGGCAATTAACGAATAAATGGCATTAAGTTTTCCTAAGTTAAGCCAAAACTTGTAGTCAGTAAGTAAGTTTCATTAAATTAAATATTTAAAACACACATGACAACAGCGCGTCGATCTTTCATCACTCTTATCGAACCGGCAATCGATCGCAAAAGGTAACAGTGATTAGTTATTGTTCGCGTACGACGTCGTGTTTATTTACAATGTTCTCGAATCAAGAGTTCGCCGACATGTTGTTAGTTTACGGTGAAGCTCGTCAGAATTCAAATTTATCGCGACAGATTTCGCCAACGGGTACACCCAGACAGAAGGACATTTGTGCAAGTGTACCAAAGACTTCTAGATACAGGAAGTGCTCAGCCCACTAATATTCGCACTCGTGAAAGACAGGTTACTGTAGAACAGGAGGAACGAATTTTAAATACCGCGGAAATCAATGCAGATATCAGCACTCGGGAATTAGGCCGCCGCGTAGGACTATCGCATACCATAGTCTATAGAATCCTACGGAAAAATTTGCTTTAATCCTACCATGTACAACGAGTGCAGGCCTTGTTACCAGAAGACTATCCTCGCATACTTACATTCTGTCGGTGGTTTTTGCACAAAAACATTGAAAATCCGGATTTTTTTAAAAACATTCTAGCGACGGATGAATGTACTTTTCCACGAGACGGGATATTAAATTTCCATAATACTCACACGTGAGCTCAAGAAAATCCTCATACCATTCGTGAAAGTCATTTCCAACAACTTTTTAAAATAAATATTTGGGCGGGTATTCTTGACGATCAGGTAATTGGCCCTTTCGAGTTACCCTCAAAGTTGTCAGGAGAAGGATACCTTAGCTTTCTAGCCAATAGCCTACCAGAACTTTTGGAACAGACCTTAGACAACATGCCATTACAACGGATACAGAATTTGTGGTTTCTTCTTGACGGGGCACCACCACACATTTTTAGAGGTTTCATTCAGTATTTGAATGAACATTATCCAAATCGCTGGATCGGTCGAAATGCTCCTGATCCTCGAAAATGGCCAGCAAGATCTCCTGACCTCAATCCGATGGATTTCTGGTATTGGGGAGAACTTAAAGGGATGGTTTATGGGGCTGGTCCAATAACAGCTGAAGCAGAACTTCGCGAAACATTTTTTAATGCGGCTGAAATAATAAATGGACAACTTCGAGGACCTAGAGTAAGAAGAAACTGGGTTCGTCGTAATGAAGCTTGTGTGGAAAGTGGATGACGACATTTTGAACACCTTCTTTAAATACAAAAAAGTGCAGTGTGGGTTTTAAAAAGAAAAACAATGTATGTATCAAAATTGTGTTCCCGTTTTATAAGTGGATTTTTTTAATTACGTTCAATAAACTTTCACACACCAGATGAAGCGCTGACAGTTAGTGGTAAGTCAGTTTTTTTTAATTGTTTACATTTTACGAGTACATTATCAAATAATGAAATAATACCTAAGAGACAAAAATAACAAACTCCATCTTTATTTACACTGCGTTCCGTCGTAATTTGCGTCTGGCATTGCGGCGTTGTCAGATTTAATTTTACTTTGAAGTCGCTTTTCTCTGAAAAATGCCGTTTTGACACCCATTTTATATGAAACTTTTTGCTTCTTTTAACCCATTTAAATAATGACTATCATAACGTTTACACCCTGTATACAAAGTATGTACATACATAGGTGTACATATACATATATGTATACACATATTGTACATATGTATATGTAGTATATGCTAGTATCCAACATAAAACAATGAAATAAAAAGTTACTTTCAACACGCAAAAATTCATATATTGTCGTTTGTCTCCTCTTTTTCTTTAAAATGGCGTCTTGAAGTCGTATTTCTGATTTAAAAGGAAGCTCCAAAGTCTTTCGATCAAACTTGTGAACTGCTTGGTCAGAGTAACAGCTTTACCATAATTTGGAATAGCATTTGTTGGTCCTCATTGACATCAGAATTTTCAAAAAGTTGTTGTATTTTGAACCGGATATTCAACTTCTTGGCCTGAATCTGGATCTTCAACATACAAACTTTCAGGTTCAAAAAATCATAATTGTTTTCATTTTCATGAGTTAACTTCAATAAATTCTTATTTTTGAGGGTATCTGAAAGTACATTAAGTGGTAAGTCATCCTCTGGGCCAGGTGTATCAGCCCCATTTAACTGGTCTTCACTTTGCATATTTTCATGTTTAAATCCTGCTTTACGGAAACAATTTTGCACTGTTTCTTTGATTTCTTGGCCCCAAGCCGTTTTTCTCAAATAAACTGCATCCAATCACGTAGTTTCCTTTATTAACTCAAAAGCTGTACTAAAGTTTCAATGTTTACTAGCAGGTAAGAAGTTTTTAAACTTTCCTTGTCATTTTTGAAATGACAGATCCATTTGTAGTTGATTTTTTTTGTGATTCCTCAGATTTCCGACTTCCTACTGCTACGCGCCCACGAAATGGCATTTTCCAAGCTTGACGTGTCCCTGTACAACAAAGAGCAAAACGCCGAAAACCGCGCATCCATGTTAGAAAGAGAGGAAGAGTTGAGACAGCATAAAGAAAAAGAAGTAGAAGAGGACATTGATTGGCTGGCGCCTTACGCTGCAAGGCTTGGTAATCCGTCAAAGTTCAACTATAGTCAGGCTTTGGAGGCTAAGATTAGCTGTCTCGATGATTTTAAGAAACTTTTGGTCTCCAGAGCTCATCGAATACAAAAAACCTTCGAGAAGGTGAGGATAAATTATGTAGCTGTATAGTAAAAATTCTTTATACATTCCTACTTCCTATTGTCATCTACAGTATAAGCCGCACGGGTATTACGTATCTGAAAAAGTTGAATTTTGTATTTTTTTTGAAATTTCGTATGTTTTTTGTTACATAACATAGGTTTTTCTAGAAGATGTTAACTTAGCACAAGAAGTTGTACACTTGTTGGGAAGTCTTTTTGTATTTGTACGTGTTGCTTAAACGTCAGCGTAGTAGTCTAATCATATTAGACGAAAATACCCCTGGGTTTGCGAAATAATTGTAAAGACTGGTTTTATTGGTGCAAGTTGTTCAAGGGGGTATTTAAAACATGGACGCATAAAATGGGTACATCAATTTTTGTGGGAAAACTTTTTATTCGACAACAAAGAATGAGGAAATGTATTTTTTGGGGTTCAATCAGAAGTGTTGGCAGGAACGAAAAAACTCTTCATATAAGATTTTTAGGTATTTTCGAGACCGACAAAACGAGACCACGCGTGAAAAGATCCGACTAATAGCAAAAAAGTTATGGCCGAAAACCAAGCCAAACCGCAGGTTTTGACACTTGTTGGTAACGAGACGATGGTTTCTCGCAGATACTTGGAATTCTTCAAATTCGTAGGAATCATACTTATAAATAACCACAACAAAATTGGAGTGGATTGGTTAAGTAGTTTTTGAGAATTTCTGTTTATCCCAAAACACCTGTTTTCCGACCATCACTACCAGTTTATTGAGCAATATACATGATTAGTTCAGAGGGCATTTTATAGCAAATACACTAGTTTACCTTGAAGATATGAATTGCAAACCATTCCTGAAGATAAATGTTATTTATGTGCAAAAAAGATGGGTTCCTTCTTCTAAACAAATTCAAACATTTCGAATTTGTGAGTAATTCGCAACAAAAGATGATAGACACATACCTACAAGTGCGAAAACCTGCATTTCGCCTCGTTTTTCTGCCATAAAATTTTTGCTATTAATCGGATCTTTTCACGTGTGGTCTCATTTTGTAGGTCTCATAAATACTTAAAAATCTTATGTGAAAAGTTTTTTCGTTCCTGTCAACACTTTCGATTCAATCCCAAAAAACACGTTTTCTCATTCTTTGTTGTCGAATAAATAGTTTTCCCACAAAAATTGGTGTACCTATCTTATGCGACCATGTTTTGAATAGCCCCTTGAACAACTTGCACCAATAAAACTAGACTTTAAAATTATTTCGGGGAAATTTGCTAATACGATTAGATTAGACTATAGCTATTGTAAAGCGCTGTTTCATTTTTGATGTTTTTTACATAATAACCCTGCCGACCTATGATCAGACAAAACACCTTAGTACCATTTTAATGGTAGATAAATATGTTTACCCAGAAACCGGAGTATACTTTTCCAGAGTCCAACCCTTTCAGTTGCGAAAAAAAGCGATTTTTGCCTATATTTTAGGGTATATTCCTTGAGTCATTTTTTTCAAGAAACCCTAGACATCGTCTCAAAGTACAAGCCTTGCTTTTCAAATGTCAGTTATTCTTTATTTTTTAGTTCTTTGACTTCTATTGATCAAATATTTTTGTAATAAGTTGAATACAGAACCTTGAAATCGTTAACAATTTCTCCCTGTCAATAGTCTCAAATGCTCTCTTGAATTCCAAGAACAATGTTACTGTAAACTTTTTTTCATCCGTATTTCGCCTCCTCCTGTTCATATATGATTCCTTCTGAAAGCTTCGCGACACCTGGCAGTACATTAATTGGCCGCATGTTTGTATATAACTCAGAATTTGCACTTTTGGAACAGGAGTAATTGTAGAACATTTTAATTTTGAAGGAAATTCGCCATACACTAGTGATTCACTAGTAATAATAACTTCTCTCCAATAATGCTGAAACTTTCATTCATAACCATTTTTGAAAGATGTTCGCTAGGATTTCTATTCGATTTCAATCTTGTAATAGCTTTTGAGATATGGCTGATATTTATTGTTTGGAATTTCATGTGACATCATCTTCGATTGACTCCACTAACTCATTTATACTTTTTATAAAATAAGCGTTTATTCGTTCTGCAATCAATATTTTTTGTGTTACTATACCATCTTCGAAGCACATTCTTGATAATTCATTCTTCCTACCGGGAGATACAATATTTTTTAGTGTCTTCCACATCATTTTACTGTTATTTTTATTGCTATCGATTTTGTTTTCATAATATGTTTTCTTTTCGTTCCTAAAATTTGTTAAACACTTGTTTCTTGATTTCTTATATTGTATCCAATCTTCCTCAGTTAGAGTGATCATAAATTTTTTATAGTCATTATCACGCGTCAATTTAGAGTCTAGAAATATTTGTGAAAACCAGAGTGTTGGCTTTTCCCGTTGATATACCACTTTCCTAATTTGTGCGTCTCTCATGCAGTTCTCCATACAATTCATAATTTTTGAGAAGTAAGTGTCAGCATCATTAAACATTTCAGTCGTATTGGCTTGTGAGGGTGACTCTCGTAACGTTTCAAAGTCAATAATTGTGATTTCTCTTGATTCTCTTTCATTAAACATATTTTCCACCTCGAAACATATCCACGAATGGTCGCTTATTTTTGGGAGTAAGTGAAACCTTAATACTCAAATTCTGGTTCTGGTTATTATTAAATCGATCTTAGTTCGTAAAAAGTTTGTAATCCTTGCGTAGCCATTAAAATTTTGCCATAGACCATGAAAGTTCAGTACTTGTTTACATTTTTTTACATAAAAATAAAAATAAAAATTATCAAAATTTATATTGAAGTCTCTGAAGTGCACAGTGGAGGAATATCGATAATACTGTTTTTCACAAACACTCTCAAAAAGTCCAAAAGTCGGCTAATATTACAGCTTGGAGATCTGTAGTAAACATGTACATTGTAATTTTGTTTCATCTTTATTCCAAAATGAATATACCACCATTGCAGTATACTGCTTAAGGATCTGTTGGTCCTCCTAGAAACTTCTCTTATCGTTAGCCGACTTCACGCATCCCATACGTACGAAAACTGAATGCTTCTCTATCACCAAACAATATACGCAGCCACCACAAAAACTTAGCAGAAAGACCTGACCTTTTTGTCACTTGTTGTTCATGGCAAGATAAATCGATATGTAAAGAATTCGTGAATTCTAATAAACATACGTAGGTGTTTACTTTTTGTTGTCACTCAGTATATTTATTTATTAGCTTGCATATTCTTTCAACCTGATTTTCACCAATTTCAAAAAGTCTGATTAACTTGTAAATTTGCACAGGGGTAGGGACGATAAAAAACAATTTTGGCTAAAAATTTTGAAATTCTGAAAAATTTGGAAAATAATTTGGAGATTTGGAAAAAATTAGAAATACCGAATTTAAAAAAAATGGTATAAAATATACCAAAAATCGAACCTCTTGAGAAACAGTTTTGTTGTCGTTTTGAGACTGGAAATTCAAAATATAAAAGAACTAGAAAACGCTTTAAAAGCAAATCGAACAAAAAAGTAGAAAACAATTTTCAGGTATGATTAATTAATTTGATAAGATCAATTCAAAAATTAAACTATCAACAAAAAATCATTTCTAGTAAAAAATCGTAATTCTAACACCAAACACCCCAAGCTTTTTTACTAAAATTGAATTTTTTGTGAATATCTTAATTTTATATTGATCTTATTCCAAATTACTTAGTCATACTATAAGGTTGCACTGTCTATCGCAGTAATACAAACTCACCTATACTCGGAAATTGATTTAAACTTTTTGGTTCATTTGCTATTGAAGCGTGTAAAAACACTCAAAAATGAGTTCTTTTTCGAATTGCGAAAACTCCAATTTTTTCCAAAATTCCCAAGTTTTCGATTTGTTTTCCGATGATTTATTTGGAAATTATTGTCTATTGTTTTAGTTCGATTTTCTATTAAAGCGTGTTTTTTAAACTATAATTTATTTTTAATTACTTTTCTTTGCAGATGGGCGAGCAATTGCAAACTCTACAAAATTGGTATACAGCAAACCACGACAACTTGAACCCGGTAGAAGAAGCGGCATACTTTGAGAAAGTTAATGATAAAATGTTTTACCTCAAAACGTTGGAAATGAGGCTTACACGGCATAAAGATCTGGCACCATTAAGGTAATTCCTTTAAGACTACTCTCGGATCATACATATCCTAAAGTTTGGTAAAATAACGGTGAAATCACTGTAGATGTAGTTAAATCGAATGTCAATTTGCAGATATCGACAGATGGAGGAGTTCTTGAAGCGTCATCCACAATTGCAGATTCTTAATTAGCCCCGATAGGATGCTTTGGCGAAACCAATATACAGCAAAAAATCTGAAGTGTTTCAAACAATTTTAATGTTTTATACTTTTTACACTTTACACTGTATTAAAATGCAATATATTTTAAATCGCATACTGTAAGTATCATTACATCTTTGGCTTGGTTTTTATACACTAAAAAATAAATACGTATACATCTTATCTACAGTGTATTACATTGGACAATATACCAGGAAGTAACATGGCGAAGAAACATTCAGTACATACATTATGTATTTCCTAAAATAACACTTTTTTATTGTTTCGTAAATTAAAATGTTCAAGACATTGCTAATTTAGGAGGCATTTTTCGATAATATCAGTATTCAACTACATTATTCTTCCACTGTGAAGCTTATAGAATCTGAAAGATAAGTAATCAGGCAGCCAGATCCTATGTATTTTTTGACAGAATATATCTTAATCTTCCGATTAAGTTAGCCTATAAAGATGACACGGTCATCAGTAACAACTTACAGCTGCTCCATTTGCAAGTTTTAACATGGAATGATACAAATATATTTTGAAGTGTGCACAAGGTGCGGTAGCATAACTTCTTTTTTTAAAATGTGCACCATTCAGTCGATTGATGTCGTAGCAGGGCGCTAGTGATCTCGTTCGACAGGCGGGAATATTCAGTTTTGTCCCGACACAGGCCAGTCGCCATCATGCGTTGAAACCATAAGGAGCATGCTTTTGCCGTTGAAGCCTACTTTGGATGTTCTGTGATCGCAGCTGAGCGCGCATTTAGGAATCGCTTTAATTTAGGCCCGTTCCGGACCGGAAATGAATTGTTAGGTGAATCACTAGGTTCAGACACACTGCAAGTGCGACAAAACGAAGAAATTGAGTCCCTCGGTCCATTAGATCAATCACCAGAAAACATTGACGCAGTGAGAGCTTCAATATTGCGATCACCACTGCGTTCTGCGCGCAAACATTCGTCTGCCCTTGGACTTCCCATCGTTCTGTGAGGTGAATTCTTCACGATCTTCATTTCTATCCTTAGAAGATGGTAATTGTGCAGGAACTTTCTGAAGGTGACTTCAACTCTCGAATGAACGGGTGTGAGCGTCTATTCGAAGTCGTCCCTGAAGACGCTATTGTTTTTTTTTTTAGTGAAGCCCATCTTAATTTGTGTGGATTCGTCAACAAACAAAACATGAGCCACTGGGCTCACATCAATCCTCAAGAATTGCATCAAGCGCCTCTGCCCCTGATTCTTTGAGGAAAGTCAGTGAATTCGGACCGGCATGGTAACATGTTACAGGATTTTTTTCACGGCTAAATGAGTTGGACTTTTGTTCCAACAAGATGATGCAACGGCACATATTTCAAGTCCACTGATAGCTGTTTTAAGGGAGCACTTCCCAGAGTGCCTTATCTCAATTAGGGGTGATTTGGAGTGGGCGGCCCGCTCTCCCGATTTGGCCCCTTGTGAATTTTAAGAAGTTTTTTCGAAATTCCGTGTTTATGTGAATCGTTCAAGGAGCTTACAAGATTTGAAGACCAACATCCAGGAAAAATTACCAACGTAACGCTAGCTTTGCTCGCCAAAGTCATGACTCACTTTACTCTGTGTATGGAGAATGTTCTGATTCATACAAGTTTTAACCTAGTTTTGAAAAACTGAAGCTATGCTGCCGCACCCTGTAAAATCAGTCAAACGCAGTATGTTAATCTCTAAATATCATGCAAAAATATCACCGTGCATTGGAATGTACATAAATAATGATTATAGCTTTAATAGCTAATGGACCATGATCCCATTTGCCCGATGCAATGACCATCTTCGTCGAACGTTGCTAAAGTCAACCTACTCAACTTGTTGCTTAAGGAAGGCAGTGTTGTCGAATGCACTGAAGTCATTATCAGAGACGAGTGAGTTTCTGGAACGAATAATTAATCATTAATGATGAATGATAATGCAATACGCAGTGTTGAGATAGAAATTAGATTTAGATTTAATATTCAGTAGCGCTCAAAAGTATGTTGACAAGTGGAAACTTGTTAATAACTTACTCCTACGTGTTTGTAAATAGATGCGATTTTTGCTATTGCTAAAAGTAGCGACTTGTTTGTTTACATTGTGGATATTCCACGATAGAAGTTTGAATAGACGCTCATAAGTATTATGGCGACTTTCCAGACTCCAAACCACTTGCAGTGGATAGAAAAGTTGTATAATTGTTTAACATGCCGATGACAAAAGAATATTCTTTCGACTTCAAAAATGCTGTAATAGCTGCCCTACAAAAAGGATCAACACAATCAGAAGTTGCTAGGAGGTTTAAGGTATCCCGGCAACTGATTAGCACTTGGAATAAGGCTTTTATTAATCATAAGACAGTGGAGACCATGCCTCGTACTTGACGCCCGAAAAAAACCACTGCCAGTGAAGAGTGAGGTCCGAAAGTCGGCAGTGCAAATAAAAAACGAGCTCCGAGAAAATTATGATGTAAACCACCAACGTCGGCTTAAAGACATTGGATTGCAAGACTTGCATTTGCAGAACTGCAGAGATCGTGGAGGAATTCCGAGTGGTCGAAAGTGTTGTGGAGTGATGAAAGTAAATTCAATTTATTGTCATCTGATGGAATACGCTATGTATGACGACCTGTAAACAAAAAATTCGATGTTGGATACCGAATACCCACGGTGAAACATGGAGGTGGCAGCATCATGGTCTGGGGGTGTTTTTCTCGTTAGAATCGAAAGTACTATGGATCGTGGGTGGCATTTTCAACAAGATAATGACCCCCAAACACAAATCGAAGCATGTGAGTGACTTGATGAAAACCATGAATACCAAAGTTTTGGAGTGGCCAACCCAAAGTGCTGATTTGAATCCTTCTGGACGAGCTATATCGCTGCGTAAGATGTCGTAATTACTCTAACAAGGATGCCTTGTATGAAGCCATAAGTAATGAATGAAGCCGAATCCCATTTGATCGTTTGCAAAAATTAACTGACTCGATGCCGCCACGTTGTTAAGCTGTTACAAAAGCGAAAGGATATGCTACGAAATATTAATGATTACTCCCAAAAACAAACAGCATGGCTGACTGTAATAAATGATTATCCTGTTGTCAAAATACTTTTGATCTGCAATAATTAAAACTTCAATTAATCATTACTTTTAGTTTGACATTAAATAATATGCTTTACTTCTTAATTGTAAAACATTATAAGGAATAATAGATTACTTAATAAATTTCAATATTGTTTTTATTTTTGTCGTGTTTAATGAGTTACACTTTGTCAAAATACTTTTGAGTGCTACTGTATAATTATACCCAAAACCCATTGCAACTCTCTTGCGCTAAATGTAGATAACTCTCAAGTTAATTTATCAGACCAATTAAGAAAAGGTTGATTTTTCTAGATAAAAAACGCAATTCTACATCAACAATACCCAATTTAAGAATTTTGGAGTATTATTTGATGAAAAGTTGTTGTGTCACTAACACCTTTATAAACTGTCTTTTAGTCTTAGGGATCTTGGATACAACTTTATGTTCATTACAAATTTTTTGTAAAAAAAATGGTTATTTTTTATACTAAAGTAGGTGCGTATGCAGAAGATTAAATACCAAGGCACCGCAGCTGCTCTGAGGAGCTTAAAGAAACTTTGTTAATCCGATTTTTGAACTGCCTAAGGTTAGGCAAAGGAGCGGTCGTATCGGTCAGTGCTAGATGAACGGTTAGGATGGGAGGCCGGATTTACTTTGGAGTATCTGCATTCAAAAAATTATTTTGGCGGCGGACGCCACAATCAATTAACAGGTTGGTTTGGCGATGGATGCTGGCGACGTCACGATGGTGTTGCAATGAGGGGGACTCTTTGTTCTTTCTACTTTGTTACTGTTTCCCAAATATGTACATGAGTAATACATATTAACTAGTTTTCAGCATTATTTGGGCCTGTATGATAAAATTAAGATCCAATAGGTGAATTCAAAAACGTTTCAGTACAATGAAACTGTCAATAACACACATACATTGTGTCCTGAAAATTGCGACCTTCCTTTTCTGAGTCAACTATGTTTGCAATGCCAAATCGACAAAGCAAGACCGAAAACGAAAAAAGGAATTAAAGGAAAAGACTCACTATTCATTTTGTAACGAATTTCAAGCACTGCCCTGTCACGTGTTTTATTTGTAAACACTGCTTGAAATTGCAGAATCCAATTTTTGAACTGTCTTAGGCTAGTAGAACTGGGAAAAGCCTCCTCAGGTAGATTGTTCCACAATCTCGATTCCCTAGGGACAAAGGAGTGGTCGCATCGGCCAGTTCTTCATGTACGAGTTCGACGCGGTTAGGATGGGAGGACGAAGTCTGGCGGAAGCAAAGTCCGTTAACATAGCGGCAGAAGAGCCGTAGATCGCCAACGGCCCGTCGTTGCGAAACGGTCCCGAGACAGTCCGTTAGAGTGGAGTAATCGATTAGTCGGACAGCGCTCTTCTAAACAGTGTCGAGTATGGAAAATGTAGTCGGGCGACAACCCCAAACGTGTGGGCTTTTCTCAGCAGCTGCCGCTATTGATGAGGTGTGTTTGTGCCAGATCAAATTCTCGGAGATCTGGACTCCGATCAGCCGAAATGAACCTCTTTGGCAGAACTCCGCCATCCATAGAAACCGGATGAGCACTAGGATGTTTTTTCTTCGTCAAGGTACAGTGCTGTGTTTTGGAAGCATTTAACTGTACAAAATTATTGCCAGAGATCAGCTTGTCGCTCAGAATTCCTGCATGTAGAGTGCTTTCATCAGCAAAGAGAAAAGGAGAACTCGTTAATTGCGACGGATATGCTGCGGCCAGAAAAGAAGACAGCCTACCTTAGGATGGAAGTTTGTATAAGATTTCGTGATATCAGAAGCAACAGCATGAGCCTCACCTTAAGACTGATTCCACAGTGGCATGACGTAAACCATACAGCCTGTGGCCTGACATTATTCTTTCTTATTTTTATAAGCATTTCCATAACAATCGTTAACGTACCAACTGTATTGGAGTTGTGCCGGATCTGGTTTCACGGATCAAAAATATTAGGTCCCACCGAGATTTGAACTCGGATCGCTGGATTCAGAGTCCAGAGTGCTAACCATTACACCATGGAACCTTGCTGACCATTTTTATATTCAGAAAAGCAGTGTTTGTTTCTTTTTTTACGAGAATATTTATTGATGATATGCATAATTATTATCATCACCAATTATCATTCTTACGTAACATCAATGTGTGCAAGCAAACTTCTCGCTATAAATCAGCAGACTATTTGCGAAATATATACAGTATGCCGTAATATATAGTTTCACAGACTGCAAAATAGAAGTTGAAGAAATTCCTGAATGTTCAGATTTTAAAGATACATTCGGTAAAATTGCCAAAACTACAAAATGGTATTGAGCTACCTATACTCACCGTTCTCATTATTAACTTGGTTATCTAACGATTTATCGGTTTCATCGTTCGATTTCGATTTCAGCTGATTGACAAAGAAAACAATCAGATTGTCCATCAAACTGGCTTGTCTTGAGAACACCTGCAAAATTTTCGAAACCCGAGCTCCGTTTTCTACAACCATGAACTGCACAAACAAACATGGCAGGCAATTGGGATCACCTTCTTTGGAGGGTCTCGCGTATTCCCAACTGAATTCTTCGAACCTCAGACCCAACAATACTACCTATGAAAAGAATTGTGATAAGAGGTTAGTCTTCTTGAATTTCGTTCAGTAGCGGAAGTTGCACAGACAAATCTGCTCTTCAATGTTGAAGGATCATTAAGCTTATTTTTTAAATAGGAATTTAGCAAGAGATTCCACACCACTTCTATTGATTAAGAGACGAAAGTAGAATTTGTTTAAATTCACGTAACCCGTATATGATTGACTCTGAATAAAACATTACTAGAATTTGTGGATTTGGAAGCAGATATTTTCAAGAACATTATTTTCAGGCCAAATGAAACCACATATACGTATACAGTAATGGACAAAAGTATATAGACGAATATGAATATTTACCTAAATACCTTTAGAAAACGAATTCATACTTCATTGCTCCATCAACAAATGCGTTGTTAGTAGAAAAACTAAATACCTTGTTTTTACATTATCTGCAATGAACACAATGCAAGTCTTAATATAAGCACTTTTTTATGAGGGACAAAAATATGTAGACAAATTCTTTTCAACATTAGTTTAGTACAGTTTCGTGTCAGAAGAGAATTAGTTTGTGTTCATCAAGTATTGTGGAATAAGTTGAGTGATTTTAGACCATGCCGCATGGTCCAGAAACTTCATTCGATGTAAAAACTAAGATCATTGAGTTATACAAAGATGGTCAACGTCAAGTCGACATTGCCAACAATTTGAAGCTGAAGCGTAAAGCAGTTGGGCAATATTGAACAAATATAAACAAAAAGGTATCTTGGAAGCCTCTAAGAGAAGTGGCCTAGAAAACTAAATGCTAGATCAGTTAGATTAATAAAAGTAATTTCGGCCAAAGATCCGTTTAAAACCCCAAGACAAATAAAAGCCGAAATCGAGGCAAAAATATTTGTCAGTGATTCTACGAAAACTATAAGTAGAAGATTAAATGATTTAAAGTTATTTGCACGTCGCCCGAGTAAGAAGCCGCTAATCTCGAGGAAAATCCGTAAGGACCGATTACAATTTGTATGGTTGCATCTTGATTGGAGCATCTGTGACTGGAAGAGGGTATGTTTCAGTGACGAATCCAAGTTCAATATGTTTGGATCAGATGGTGTTCATTACGTCAGACGTCCTAGTGGACAAAGATTGAACCCCAAGTACACTTTGCCCACTGTCAAACATGGAGGCGGGTCTGTTATGGTCTGGGGGTGCTTTTAGGGGTTTGGGGTGGGACCTTTACATAGAATAGATGGCATTATGGATAAGTTTGTATACACAGACATACGATGGCATGAAATGTTACTCTATATGGAAGACAATATGCCCTTAAGATCAATCTTCCAGCAATATAATGATCCGAAGCACACTTCAAATCTCGCAAAAAAATCTTTCTGGATGAAAAAATACCAGTTCTCAAATGGCCTTCACAGTCTCCCGATATAAACCCCATTGAAAATCTATGGAAATACTTAGATAAGCAAATACGAGATAAAAATTATTCAAACAAGGATGAACTGTTTGCCGCTTTAGAGCAAAAGTGGAGACAGATTGATGAATCTTATATCAAGAAACTTCTAAAATCTATGCCGAGACGATGCCAGGCGGTGATTGACAATAATGGTTGTGCTCCAAAATATTAACACAAACATGGTTGGTTTTCTATAATTCAATGAACTTTGCTTCTTTTTTCTATAATTCTTTTGCTTTGTCTATATATTTTTGTCCTTCATAGTTCCAGTTTTTTTCAATTAATTCTTTATTAAATTAATTCTAATTTATTTAAGTATAAGTGAGTATTATGCTATAACGAATTATATATACAGGTTGGTGTATTAATAACACAAGTTAAAAAAGAAATACAGCACAATATTAACTTGTCAATATACTTTTGTCCATTACTGTATATAAATTATTGAATGTTTATTTGACAGACCCAAACAAATATCATCAAATCAGTAAATATTCGATAGAAAAAACTTTCCCTTGAAAACATACTGTACTTTATCCGCAAAGATTTGTTGATCAAAAATTAACACTAAAAAGACCGATATGATCTTTTGCAGTGGAAATGCGCATATCATATCACGTTTGACGTAATGATATGTAACGACTTCAGTACACATACCATACATACGAGGTCCCTCTGAAAGTCTTGGAGGTGTATGCAAAAAATTCAATATCAGAACTGTCTTCAAAACAAGTAATAACAAGATCCCTACTATGTCGCACAAAACCAATCAATGAAAATGTAAACTCAAAAAATGCAATATATAAAACAGGCAGCGACTGGGGTAAAATAGTGAGACATCAAGACCTGTTGAATGCAGAATTGAAGAACATAAAGGCTTCAAACAAATTCAGCATTCAACATGTATGAGGCATAGGGTAAAATGGAAATTGCACAAAAAGGATAACAATTACAAAAGGAAGGCGAGGTAAAGGTAAAAACTTTATAAAATTAAACAAATTCCTCTGTAGATTTTAGCCCAATTTGGTTGAGTATCCTTGAAGGAAGGATCTAGTTGATATTCTCCGAGCTGACTGCTGGACCACAAGACTTTTACTTCCAGGTTTCTCTTATGGTTTATTATTAGAACACCAAATGCGCAGATGTTTTGCTTCGCCATCTCATGTCTGTTGTGTCATTATTTCCTCAGGAAACAAACAACATGGTGCTCATGAGGTGTTGAAGTGCTATTTCTCGCACTTTGGACAAATGACCAATGCAGATTTTTTTTATACTCCAACTACCACGAAGGCCTAAGGCCTAAACACCCATTGGGTACCGTGGGGCTATAGGGGGATACAGGGGAAAGGGGGAACGCCACACGGACTCTGGCGAGGGAACACGTGTGCATGCAACATGCACACATTCTGGCTCCACCTACGAGATCCGCCGGGTGGTACCTCCACGTTCGACAGTCAGAGGCCATCTACCACCTACGGACAATCACAACATCCATAGCCAAGAGAAAAATTTCTCCTGGGACGGGACTCGAACCCGCACTGCGCACGGCGACTGATCATGAGACCGACGAGTCTACTACTGCGGCCACCTCTGCTGCCTAGATCCAGCATTAGTAGTCGAAGATTGCATAACAGTGAACTGGTATGTTGGGTATTCGCGTTCTCGGAGAACTTTTGGCGTTTTCGGGACCATCAGCGAGAGCGACGTGCCTGGTACACCCAAAACAGCAGTAGCTCGTTTGTCGCTTAGGGGGAAGGATGTTGGCCGTCTTTTAGGAGCTGGAATACTAGCCAGGCGATCCTGGTATTTACTGGTTTTGCGCGATGCTACCTTAAAATTGTAGTGGTGACTTCGCGACGTGCTACAGGATCGTTTTTGTTTGTTTGTTGAAGATTTATTTAGCATTAATGCCACAATTTCAAATTTGTATAATTATTAATTTACCCATTTTTTTATCAAGTATTCATAAAATGATTTTTTAATTTCATCTTAAACCCTGTCAATAATATTATTCAATTTATTAAATTCAAATACTCCCTTCTGAAATACAGATTGCTATGCTACTATTACAATTTTGCATAGTGACTATTTAATTTTGTGAAGTTTCCTAAATGTGGTGGCAATAAATGATTTTTTTAATTTGAATATATGGAAATGAGAAGTAAATAACATATTTTTGTTTACTTTCCACCACTTTAGTTGTTATAACATAATTTTAATCTTTCCTTTTATTTAAATTGATTATCACAGCTTTATTTTGTAACATTTGTAATTTTGAAAATATGTTTTCATTTGCTGTAAAAAGAATGGTTGAAAAATATAAAAAATGGAGAAGAATTATAATGTTATACACATATTTTTTTTGAATACATACAGTAGCGAAGAAAAGAAATCGACAAATGAACTGTCGCATAAAAATGTATACACATAAAGTTTTATTTGGCCTGAATATCGCACGAAAATCCAGGTGATACATTAACATATTTTCAGTTTGCCTAAAAGAGTATATGCAATTTGAAAATGTTAACAGAAGACGAAATAGGTATAGATTCTTACACACTGAATATCATCGATAATATACATTCCCTTGGAATTGATGGCCACGAGCACTGGAATATCCTGATGGGTGATCAAAGATGGTAAACCTCTTACGGGCTGCTCGATTTGTCCTTCAAAAAAAGCGGACCTACAAGAGAATACAAAATAAAAATATAAGCACGACATTTCTTCAAATTTGCAACATACCCATAAAAAGGTAAAGACCAACAAAACTCCAAATATTTCTTCATCAGTTTCCTATTCGTAGCAGAATTTGGAATTCTCTTGAACTGTTCCAACAATCTTACTTCTGCCGAGTTTTTCGAACTGATAGGCAACCATGTCCAAGTTGAACTTTTTCTGACATGGATAGGCAAAAATTTGGTCTGCTCCTCCCTACAAAAAAAACTTCTGAGTTCTCAAAGACATGAAAATCGGTAACGTATCTAAGAATCACTGTCAAGATTCTTCCAGGATATTCTAGTTTTAAAGAGTCTTTTCAGCATATCTACTGTATCATATGTATTTTTAGAAACCAAACAAATAAGATATTTCATACTGTATGTGTTCGTTACCTTTTCCTGTCAATGAGGTAACGAAATCTTACCTGAAATAGTGTGTCGAATGCACTAAGGGGTTATAAGGCCCTAGTTCAATGCGTGCTTGAATTCCTCCTAACATAATATAATGAATTACTTCACATGGATAACGTCCATTCAAAATATTACTGCGAGCTTCTTCATAAAGGACTTCCAAAATTTTATGATCTCTGTAACAATTAGAAAGAAATTAAACTAAGTTGAAATTTTTTTTCAAAGTTTTAGCAACGACATTGGTATGATCTGTCTTATTTTCGACAACTATGAGGTGCAGTATTTAAAAAAGCTAAACTGATTGTACGTCCTCCTACAAACATACTGCTTTGTGTCAGAAATTAGGCAAAAAATCGTAGAATGAGTGTCCCTGATGCAGAAGCGTACTTTACATCACAATTGTTTTTTCTCATTTTACTTACTGTGCATCACTTTTGATTACATGCACAAATGTCGACAAGCGCAGATTATAAATTTTATTAAACATGTGTATGCGAATTTTGTTAAACTGTAGCAGCAATACACGATATGTTCAAGAAATTAAAATTTTATACACTCCAAATTATTCAAGAGCCAAACTTAACTGTATTACACAAAATTGTCCGTAATCAATCTCCATCATAATTTGAACAGTTTTTTTAAAAGACACAGAGGTTTATGTCTAAAGGGTAAAGCTACAGAAAAAAATCAATATTTGTTGAAGGTCTGAAAATTTACAACCTGTTTATTGCTGTGAAAGCATCTACCAATGTTATTGATTTTAATACACCTTCTGTAAATATTTGTATTTATAATGAATTAGATTAAAGCTAAATAAATTAAATCATACTCTAAAGTTGTCACATTATCTCAAAGCATAATGAACAAGAAATGTTTTGGTGTATGATAAATTATACAGTTTGACAGCAGCGAATCCAATAAAAACCAGTACCTAAAGGCCGTAACGTCAGTCGTCCCTACAATTGCAGAGCGCCTTTATGACCTCCTTGTTTTTACTGACCTTCAGAAAGGCGCTCTATTTTAAGGTTGACAAATATATATTTGCATTAAGCTGTTCATGGTTTTGATTTTTATCATGTTTTGTCAGCCTGAGATTACCTAGAGTCCAAGAAGAAAAAATAATAAGGAGAGCGCTGACGCTGACACGGAACGGTAGAAATCTAGACATACCCCAGGCTTTCTGAAAGAGAGAAAATACTATGAAAATCAAGGTCATAAAGACGTTCTACAGTGGTAGGAACGACTGACGATTCGGCCGTAAATGGAGGAAATTTGTACTCACTTTATCTTTTCTTCCAAATGTTGAGGGAAAAACACGTTTCTCTGGAACATGAGTCTTGGTTCATCCCTCTGCTGCCTATTGTACGAAGCATGACTGTGCTGCTCCACTAGAGAGCGCCACTTTTGCCTGATTTCATATGGCTTATGCGTAGGTTTCAGTTGCAATTCTGCAAGTCAACAACTCCTTTGGTAGAAAAAAGGAGGAGTGTGTGAATGATAAAAAGCAAAACTGAAAAGTACGTGATCGGCAACTTAAATGAGAGCATGCAAACGTCTACATAATATTTGCAAATGAAACAAATAGTAAAACAATAAATTCTTGCTATAAGTAAGGCATTTAACTGTAAAAGTTACACTCTCCAATTTTTAGAAATTCAGGGGAAGTGCAAAAATATATATAGATATCTTGAGATAATGCAAATGCACTATTCTCAAAAAGGAAATAAATGAACTTCAAACTCAGTATTGGTAACAAATTTAATTAGCCTCTAGACCGTAAGTGACTGTTCTAATACTTTGTTTAAATCAATTTGGACATATTTATGGCATCCAGATATACCAACAGCAATACCGCTATCCTTCAGCGGCTCCAGAACAAGGTTCAGAGAATGATCGTCGAGACACCATATCACGTTCAGAATAAAGTGACTCACATCCTAATGTGCTACCAGACAAGTTAATTGTAAGAGCTAGTGAATATTTTAAAAATGGATTTGCCATATGAATTGGTGACAGAACCAAGATAATCTTAAGTAATGGCATATACAATTAATATAGTATCAGATAGAGATCACTCCCTGTAGTGATACTATGCGTTTTTTTTATAGTACATATTAGTCAGGAAAACATAATTGTTGTCCACACGGGCAGATTGCTGCTTTATTTCCTGACTTCCTATATTCTACTATTATTTATCATTAATAAAAATCAAGTTTTATCCATAAATCATATACCTGCAGATTTCATACTAAGGAAGATGTTCATATAGCGGATCAAACAAAGCATGTTTCGGACAGATTTTCCCCAGAGCAAGCAAATCCCTCAGACTTGCTACTTGAAAATAAAACCTAAATCACAGTTGATTGATGGAAAGATTTGGTTCCAAGAGCGGGGGATGCTTTCTACACGCCAAACTTGCAATTTCCCCCAGAACATTATATCTCTAAGAAATTCCCAAAGTGAAAATCCACTAAATTTGAGGGAAATCCCCCAACATGGCATTAATCACAAACCCTTGCTGATACTCCTTTTGAGTCTGGAAAATTAAATATGGCTTTTTTTTTAATTCACGGCATGGCACTTCAAGTCATGACACGTGGTTTAATAAACGTTTCTAACTCCAAAAATGCTTCGTTTTCGAGATAATGGCAAGAATTCCGCACATCAAAAATCGGCTAATAAAAAATCTCAAAAAATTGTTGCGTGTCTATGATCTGAGTGGAAGCTTGTTTCCTGTGTTAGTAAGGTACGTACATTCCGCATTCGATGTCAATTTAGTGCCAGGATTTACGAGTGGCCTCGGGTAGCTAGTATCAATTTTTGACCCATAATTCGGCATCAAGACCCTTTAAATATTTTCACGATGCTATTCAATTGCAACGTCCCAAATTACCTGTATGTACAGAGCATTGTTCGCGTATAGCCACCGATAACGAAAATTGATTTTTAGCACACCCAGTCGCAATTGTCGCTTAGTTTTCGGTACAAAGATGCTCCATTTTCGAGATACGGGCTAGAATCCCGCTTATCAAAAACCGACTAATAAAAAAATCTCTAAAAATTGTTGCGCGTCTATGATCTCAATGGAAGGTTATTTTCTAGGTTAATCGGGTGCGTAGATTCCGAATTCGATATCAATTTAATGCTAGGGTTCAAGGATGGTCCCGGGTAGCTAGTACCATTTTTCCACCTATGAAATTCGGCACCATGACCCTTTAAAGTTTTTCACGATGACATTCAAATTTAGCGTCCCAAATTACCAGAATATCAGATACGTACGTGTGAAATGACTTCGGATTCGGTGGTAGCGCCCCAAAATACATACAATAGATGCCATTTGAATCACACCTGAAGCATTTTCATTTTTAAAAACAATGTATTACGCGGTTTTATGTTGCAAAATCTCAAAAAAAGCCATGCTTATAATACGTTTTTTGAGTCACTGAAGCCCATTCCGGAACCCATTCAGTTCCGTTTTCGAGAGTCTCGGAAGAATTCTACTTATCAAAAAACGTCTAGTAAGAAATCTCAAAAAATTTGGATGGAAGCGTGTTTTCTAGGTAGATCGGGTGTTTGTTTAATGTACTTGGTCACTATTTTGTTAAAGTTGATGTATAGCAATCAGTAAGAAATCAAAGAATGGTAATTCGATGAAGTTCGATAAAAATTGGAGAATGCGTACTATGCTGTTAGACTCCTCAAGTGTTCAACTAACCTAGTAATGGGCTGGTCATCCAAAGTGTGAAAATCTGCGAGGCAAGAACTTTGTTCAGTCCCAATTCATCACTGTTGATGATGGCTTGACACAACAGCTCACAAGTTGCTGAGGGAGTATCTTCGATTTCCATGATGATTGCAGTTCTACTGTGCAAGTACACGCTTGTTGGAATTATGGGGCCTTGGAACGGTTCCGTGGACGAACTTGTTGACGGATTATTTGCCGACGCAAGAGAAGCCTGCACAGACGCCGTTGTTGATTCTGAAATACAGATTAATGAAACATGAGTCAATAAGAGATACCTTCGTTCCTAGATATGCACCTCCATGCTTCAAATTGAAACTTTATTGTCGTTTTTTATCAAGGATCCATCAGGATCCCAATGACTTTTCTCTGGCGTGTTTAGATGCGTATGTGCCAATACCTGAAACAATATCTCCCCCAAGTTCTTGGGCATGTAGTTTACGAGATCAGACGCCACAGGACAGACCCTTCTTACCGACGCAAAGTGAAAAAAGTAATAACCGTGATGTGTTTTATTACTTTCCATCAAACCAAAAATAACATGCATAATTCTCTTATACGCGGAGGAAGTAACAATATTGCCAAAAATAGCTTCTCCGCAGTAACTAATATGTTAAATATTCTGCCTCATTACAATCTTATTCAAATATCTAGGTCGAATGCTCAATTTGCAACATAAACTATAATATTCATACATAAATCCACTAGAATTACATGGTCACTTCTTATCCCTGGCATATAGTGGTCAGCTCCAACCTTGAACTTGGTTTAGAGCTTGTATGTCCACGAAATCCTCATGAATAAAACAACAACCTTAACAACCTGAATTAGCAGGACTTCTACAGTTAATATTTAAATGAAATGCCCAGTTGTCCTAATATTTCAATGGATTATTGTGTCGTACTTCGGAATTTATTCCTACGTGAGCATCGTTAGTTTGGGGACACTTAACATGTATCTGGTGCACGTGAGCCTATCTACAGAGGGACGGAAAGTTTCTGGGTTCTACCAGCAGCCACTTTATATATCTGAGTAATAGAAAATTACATATGTTTCTCTTCCATAAAGGCAATGGAATAGTAAATCGATAACTCCTCTTTTTGAGTGCCCTTGGTAAATGCGGGACTATGAAGTAAAAGTTTCAAATAACTCGGCGAGTACTTCGGATTTTTCACAAGGTGTAATGAAATTTCGGTCCAACTCTAGATGCGGCAGAAACCGCAGCTTCCAACTAAGAAGTACAGGGTCTGTCAGAAAGAACGCATGTTTTTCGAATGGGTACCACATCGAGTGGGCTGGTTAGGCGTCGGTGGTGAAGGGCGTGTTGGATAGTGGGAGAAGTGCCGTTTCAGTTGACAAGATGGTTTGGAACGTTGAGCATCGTGTGTTGCCTGTACGTCGGTACTTTCAAAATGGCGAGTCTGTCGTTAGAACGCAACGTGACTTTCGCGTTCACTTTCGTGTTCCAGGTCTTGGGACAGTACCAGACCGTAACACCATTGTGAGATGGGTGGAAGCATTCAACAAAACAGGTAATGTGACGGATGTGTCAACGTGTGATTTTTTTATGGAACTACCTGAAATTAAAAGTTTAGCAAAGCAAGCCTCGGTCAATCGTCGATTTGAAGGAGGAAAGAAGAGAAGTAACCCAAATTCCTGCACGGATGCTGGCTGACACACTGGGCTCATTTCGGGAGAGGCTTGATTCCTGCATTTCGACTCAAGGGCGCCATATGGCCGACATAGTTTTTAGAACGTAAATTTTGTTTAACTAAAAAATATTTCATCTATTTCTGAGTATTTTGATATAATAACATATTTTTTCCCATACTTATTTTGACGTACCACTCATTTAAAAAACATGCGTTCTTTCTGACGGACCCTGTATGATATGGGAGGTTGGAAGGCAAGATAGTGTATTTGCAAGAAACAACCAACTCGGTCGTTATCAATTAATGCTAGAATAATAATAGCAGTTTATTAAAGAAAAAAAAGTCTATTTAGCATGTAGTACTGTCTTCATCAAATATTATAATGACTTAGGTAAAGAAAACACATACATTTGTCTCTTAAAACACAAAATAAATAATGTATTTTTGTTTCTAACATGAAAAAAACAGACAATAAAAGAAAGATAACAACTTATGGCCTGTGCATCAATACTATTTAACCTTAGTTTAGACGGAAACCTAGTTTAATTTGAAGATTTCTATTCCACAAGTACTTAAACACCGTTTAAAATTTTGTAAACTGCGTTTAACTAAAATGTTAAAACTTTTGTAGTTTAAATATCTTCTTCCAAAAATGTTTTTTTTTTTGGTCATGAAATTTTAAACGATGATTTCGGTATCCTTTAATAAGTAGTGGTTTTCTAGAAGATCAAAAACAAAAACAATTTCCAAGAGATTAGTAACTATGGCATTTTTAACATATTTAGTTTGTACAGTTTTGAATATTCTGTCTGAAATGGAGCCTGAACTGAAATTCACCAACAAGTTGTTATCGACTATCTTAATTATATAAAAAATGCCTAGATTTCTGTAGGCTCACAAAACTCATATTCAATGTTGGTGCCACATGCCATTAGAACATAATCTAATAAACAAATTGATATTATTATGACATGAATAACGATTTTTCAACATTTTTCCCTCTCAAATTTGACATTTGGTCGGAATAAATTTGCACCAAGGCGTCCAAAAACATACGAAAGTAGTTTCGGTTTCGATTGTAGCTTCGGTGGATTTTCTGCTTTTGGATCGAAACTGCCAAAGCGAACGTTCGGTCGGACACTAGTGATGGAGCATCATTAGCTCATTCTGCGTTACCATGGCAACAAGATAACTAATTTCAAGTATAAGCATTTTACTAGTACAGGTCGACAACCCGCATACTCGACACCTGAATACATGGAGTACTGAATTCAACACCAAAAATGGCGTCAAGTAGACTAACACATTTCACACGCCTTCAAATTTAAATCCTCAGGCATCAAAAAACAGCTTCTATACCAAATTAATAATTTCATTGTTAACAAAAGTAATGATAGTTGTATTGTGTATAAATAAGTTGTGTATAAAGTATAAATTATAATAGCTTTACAGTTTAGAGAAAATTTTACAATGAACAGTTTTGCGGAGTGAAAGGTTGAAAAAACAACTAATTCACGTATATTTATCCAAAATAAATATATCAATGTATTTTTTAAACTTTTCATAATTTGCAAATTTTATGGCTTGTGGAAGTCCGTTATAGATTGTGAGTTTCTCCGCAAAATCGAATATGCCTTGTGTGAATATATCTCCTAGATAACAGTTTATTCTTTAAAAATGGAGAAATGACTGTAACTAAAAGCTTATGGGTATAAGTGATCAAAACTCATATAGTTCTTTTACTCTCAGCCATTTCATGACTAAGTGTGCTGATTCCATACTTTTTCAAGTTATTGGTCAATCTAGAACAGGAATTTTAAGTTTTCTTGGAGACGAATGAGTGAAGTGGAGTCTAAATATGGAACACAATAAGTAATTTTAGACATGATCAGAGATTCGCACAATATTTTTTTGATTTGGTAGTCAAGAAATTGTTTATTTAGGTAAAGCTGGCGTTAATGGAAAAAAAATTCTTGGTGATATTATTCACATGTGGTATGAATTCGAAACGTTCATCAAATATGATACCTAGGTTTTTTACCCAGTGCTTAAGCGGGTAATTAAGTTTATGTGAATACCATACCACTGATTAACATATCCGAAAACTTAGTGAATACGTTAATCAAACGTTACACGGGTAGTTTTTCCACAGATGTTTGCTCAAGTTGTGCGCATGTGTGGTTTGTTTGCGCTGAGCTGATCCAGACATGTTTTACCATAGAGTTCAAGTACTATTCACTGAGTATTTTTTGAGCATATGCTATTGAGCGTATTTAATATTTCATTTTAATGAAATACGTTTATATGTAGTTTAAGTGAGCAAGCAGACATTCAAATCACAACGTTAGTTTTAAGTTAATCGACGGATTTATATTGGCTTTGTACGGAGCCTTGTTTTTTGCAAGGCCATTCAAAAAAAGGGTTTAATAAGACTTGAATTAAATAAATAGTGAATAACTTTGCAATAACGAAAAATATTTTATAAGTTGGATAATGGAAAAAATGTTGCCTAATAATTTATTTGTTTCATGTATCTAGTAGTAGTAGTATACGTTTATTTTTTCTCTAAAATACAATGTATTAAATACAAATGCTAACTTCAGTACAATAATAAACGTAAAATAAAACATAATACCTGACTTTCACAAAATAGTTGGTTGGGCACAGGCAGATTTTTTTTTGATATAATTTTGATAATAAATTTTGCTTAGATCAGGATTTTATACATTATACAACAAGCACATTGTAAGTATGGAAGGTAAGGAGGAGTAGCACTTATATAATAAAGTTTATTCCACCAACTACAGAAATATGGAGGGTGGGGAGGAGTAATACTAGCGTAGTACGATTTCTAGTAAATAATTTCTACTAGGTTTCGTGTCTCTTGTCTACCAATTAAAAAATATATTTTTTAAATGAAGATTTTATCAAAGACAATGAGTTTATTTGATCAACATACATACAAGTACGGTACACGTATGGCAAACAATTATAAATTTTACATGGTAGGTAGGTGTGGCATCGCAAGCTTACATTTCTTTGACAAGTTTGTTTTTTTAAGTTTTCATTTTCTTTATATACAGGGTTATCCAAATTAAGTGTCCACCATTGGTAACTTTGTTATTAGTAAAAATACAAAGTTGTTTAAATTAGCAAACTAGTAGCATTTTTAACGCTGGTAAAAATGAGAAATAAAAAAAAACAATTGAGAGTCGTTATTTTGATTTTTTTCACTAAAATAACATTTTTTTAAATGGAAACCCCTGTATATTATATTTTTTTCTGTTAAAGCATCAAATTTTAAACAAAAAAGTTCATAATGACTTTTCCGCTAAAGTCAAAAATAAAGTCAAAATAACGATAAATATTTTTAATTATTTGCAGTATTATAATATTAAGACGGCTATGAAAACAACATGGCGTTCGCGATTTGACAGCATTAAGATAAGCGACAACTTGTTAAACTGGACATACTCGCAACTAGAAGGCTTTGGAAAACAATGATAAAATCAAATAATGTCAAACATTAGTGTAAATACTTGTTTATAAGCTTTATTGTGTCATTAATTTAAAGAAAAATGTTCT